TGAAATTTGATTTGAATCTATTCATTATCGTCTGACAACTCGTTTTTTAATTTTGTTATTGGTGTTCTAAAATAATATCTTTATGGAACTTGTTTTTTAATTTGCTATCACTGGGTACGCGATAATACTAAAGTACATCTAGGCTTTCAGAGTAATCTGTTCACTAGTTTCGTAGAACAGATAACAGAAAAACAGCCGGATGGAAACGACGAATCTAGTTTTTACTTCCCGAGCGAATGCTAAGAAATTATTGTAATCGGGTCCATCGGACGATTGGTTACTTTTGTGTTTTTTCGACGTTTGATGACCCTAAGAGTACGCAATTAAATTTTATAAAATAACATATTCCTGCACTTGTGGTTTATGAATTCATGTTGAATTTTTATCACACAGATCTAAATTGCCATGACCCTATACTGCATTTTATAGTTTTTACAATTACCTACAGAGAGAGGGGCTAAAAAAATACGAATGGGGCAGTCTATTTTAATAATCAAATTAAGAACGGCTTACTCCATTTTTTCGAAAATCTTACTATGCAATACAGTTATTATTATTGTACTTATTACACTGCACCTATTTTTTTTGGCACAATAAAGCTTACTTAAACTATTCAAACTGATACGCGTGTCCTTGCTAAAATGCTGATGACATCATTACACAATCTTCTAATTAAAAAAAAAATTCATTTGAAATGCATGCATTGCATGCTTCGTTATCTTTACTTCACCACTACATGTACACATATCTTTATTTTGACGAACACAGGTTATCATAAAAAAATAAAATTCACGACTTTTGAATATTTTAGGAGATCTCATTATGAAACACTGGAAAAATAAATTTGACATTCGTGAAATTGACTTTATTTCAGCAGTATCAGCATTTACTCTGCAAGTAATGATAATGACTGTAATGTTGAAGGTAAAATATGAAGTTTATAGCACGTTTATAGAATTGTATTACAGAAAATTAAAATATTATGTAGGCAACCAACTATACCTTGGCAATATACATATGTTGCAGTTGTATACCGGTATTACCGGTAATTATTTTGTAACTTATGTATCACTTAGACAACAGTATAAATGTGGTCTCTGGATACCGTTTAGTTTGATGCAATTGCAATGTATGTCTTCTATTGAAACACCACTTGTTGATTAGTTGATTATAAATTTGGTAAGGTTCTCAACCAACCGAAAGCTGTTACCAGTTGCAAAGTTTCAAGCAAAATCAACAGGTGTTTCAATAGAAACGGCAAACACAATAATTATAAATGTATTTTTCCTTTTATTCCTCTGGAAGGTTATATATGTTTTAAGAAAATTTTGTGGTTTTTACCTTCCGAGCGTAAGCTAGGGAAATATAGTAATCGGGTCCATCGGGCGAATTGCCATTTTCATATTTTCTCGACGTGTCATGACTCATGACCTCTACAGTAAGAAAAAAGTGGTCTGCCGTTTCCGTCTGTCTGTCTGTCTGTCTGGTGTCTGAATCCATTTTTATTAGACAAGTAATTTCCGAAACTACTAGACCGATTGTTGTCACATTTTGTATGTATATATATTATGAATATCATGCACTTTAGATGGTTAGTTTTTTAAATTCCATAAAATAAGATACTCCTGCAGTTGTGGTGTGTGAATCCTTGTCGAATTTTCACACTAGACATCCAGAATTTTATATATAACTTTGAAACTACAAAACCGATTACTCTGAAATCTTGTAAATAGTTTAAAGTTATCGTAATAATTGATAAATCGTTAAGCAAAATTTATTCGTTTATCCCCTCCCAAAAAAATGAGGACGTCATTTCAAAATTTTGCCGAAGAAATCCTATCCAAAATGTGCAAAATATAATGAATTGTATTTTTCCTTGTGGTTTATCAGTGAATTAAAAGTTTTTAAATTTCTTATACAGACTCATAAAAATTAATGACTTACTCAGTTTATTTTATTGAATAAATCGGAAACGACTCACTCCGTTTTCCTGTAACTTTGGTAATGCAATGCTGTTATCATTAGTATTAAACTGCACCTATCCAAAGTGATATACGTGTCTTTGAAAAAATGTTGATGACGTCATCACAAAATTTTGTGAAGTAAAAACTCATTTGAAACCTACACGTTGCACGCTTCTTTACATTTACTTCAAGATTATATATCGAACTTCTCGGGGTTCTCATAAAAAAAATAAAATCAGCAAAATCAAACTTTATATATTTTATTTTTCGAAAATGCTGGTTGTGTTTCATAGTACCTACTTCAGGAGCGAGGGAAGTTCTGTTGAAACAACTTTCGTCCACTTTTTTCTGTTTTAATTGTTTTGATATTTTCGTATGTAACTAACAAAGAAAAAAAATAGCGGCAACAATTTGACATTTTATTAATTTCCAAATTGTAACTAATTAAGTCTAGATGATTATGAAATAATGTTGGCGCTTTCAGCAGGTCACTTACCGTCAGAAGTACCGCAGAAGCTAAGTTGATAAAAAAAGGCAAGAGTGTCCATTTTGTTTTGGTGAAAAAACCAGCTTTGTAAATGAAAAAACATAGTAAATGATATTAAGAGAACACGTGTCCTTCTTCCAAACCCACACATATTAAGATTAAGTACCGGATAACTATCAGTAATTGAAGCAAATTTTTGCTTTCTGAATTATTACTGGACCTATCCAAATCGAAATACCTATCCTTGCCAAAATGTTGATGACGTCATTACAAAATTTTGTAATAGAAAAATTCACGAGCATAGCATGCTTCTTTACCCTTACCTTGAACAGTGCAGACATATCTTTGTTTATGGGTGTCATCATCTAAATAAAATAAAGTTCGCGATGTAAAATTTTATAATATTTCGCAAACTCCGGATATATTGTATTGTACTTGAGGGGCTTTATATTGTGTTTAATAAACTCCACGCAAGTTAGGTCTACAGACTGAAATACCACATCATTGTGTTGACAAATTAATCGTGAGCGTCATAATAAGTATAAAATAAAAATATAAGAAACTATGAAAGCAGAGAAAGTGAACGAAGCGCGCGACTGCCTTAAAACAATTCAATAAGTTTACATATAGAATTATAATGAATATAATGACTTGTTTAGAGTGAACAAAACGCTTCAGTTACAACGAGAGTAATGCAATACAAACTCCTCTGAAGTACACATGAGACTAATCGTCACCATATTTTTAAAATTCTGTACAAAATTGAGTCTGGATTTTTCGCTGTCGTTCTTATTCCCTGTTGTGAGTACTACACCATTCAGCGGCAATTTAAGGACCTTTTTTATTTTTTTATGTATGTACTTTTTATTTATATTAAAAAAAAGATGTAAAACCAGCTTAGTTCACAAAAAAGGTTGATATTATGTTCAAACGCCGTACAAATTTAGAACTTAATTTTGCTTTAGTATTAAGAATCCATAAATCTTTTTATGTCTAGTTGATGACTGTGGACTCTGATGTATAAGATACAGTCTATAACACTTGGTAATTCGTGTGTACCCCAAACAAATAAAATTTAAAATGTTAATTTTGTAAACTTTTGTTTTCGTGGCATTAGTTGTTTTATACTTGTAGATACGTATCATACAGTAATGTTAGGTCATAATTATTTTTCAAATAAACGTAGATATGTCATCGATAACAAAATGAATAAAATATTCTGTAAGAGTTATTACTAACACAACTAAAATTTGCCAAAAAAGTAGGTAAACTTGTAAATTTGCAATGATTTTCATGAATGCTATCTATTGTAAGTATTAAATAATAGTGCTTTAATAATGTTTCATATTTTTTAGCTTATGTATCATCAATTGTGGCAAGTGCACAAGACGTTTGTATTTAACCAACTTTTAATTTAAATTTATGGTTATTAGAGCAATAAAATTTCTGTTGTATACAAAGTAAGGCAATTTAGAATGTGCTTGTAATTATTAGGTCATACTTTTATCTTGAATTGAAAAACGAAAACGAAAAGCTTCTCATTTTGTTAGTGCAGTTCAGATAATTTAAAATAAATATGTTAAAATATATGAGATACTTTTATTTTTAAAAGTGTGTTATATTATACTTCTAACTAATATTTCGGGACGAATTTGCGATAGATATCTATACCTATTAATATTGCGAAGATTGTTTGTTTATTTGGAAGTATTACAGAAAAAAATTGTTTTTGTGTATTGATATAAGGTACAGTATACTGGATTAATGATTAATGATTACAAAATAATTAAATAACCATGTGTTTTCAACGACAAAACGAAGTCACCGAACCCTATATCCTGTAATTCCACATTATGTCTGACCTTTTATGCTGGTATTGGTACAGAGCAGAATTCTTTGTATTTGAACTCGTAATAAATAGCTACATGTGTGTTCAAAAATATGTGGTGTGAGAATTAAGAATTTACTTATTTTTATGTAGATACTCATTTAGATATATCTTGAAATCGATCTGTTGTTTGGATCAGTGTAGTATTAAAATTCATATATGTTACGTCCCAACGCATAGAGCATGTTTGTTTTGTTATCGTTATCAACCCTCAAACCGCAAACCCGATTGACTTGTAATTTTGACGCAAGATTTTACATCGGCCCTTGTGCAGTTTATTTTTTCCAAAGGAGGTCAAAGCTCAGCATATTATACGGGAGAAGAATGAGTGAAAGATTCAATCAATTTATTCAATAATAATCAATCATTCAATTCATTCGTCAGTCAGACTTAGTGCCGTACAGTATGACAGTTCTCGTTTTTTCGTAAAATATTACTTTGTAATTTGTTTGGACCGAAAAGTTTAGTTTAACATTATCAGTGAGTATGGATGTTATTTAAATACATAGTCACTGTTATTATATTATATTCGGACTTACAAAAGTGTCTTCAGATGTCTTAGTGTTCAAGTCTTGTAATCATCGAAATTAATACAATAGAATCAATTGTTTTTATTGTTATTCATAACGTCCATCAGGATCGGTAAATAAGATATACGATATTATCTTACAATAAATTACAAATAGACTATTTAAAAACTAAACGTAAAATTTGTTACAACCGTTACTAACGAAATCCTTAGCATTTCTACTTTCATCATCAACAATGTTTTTTCATGCATGAGCCACAACCCCACTTCTTTATGCTCTGCTAATTGTTGTTTCCTTCCTGTCTGATTTGAATCCATATTTGTTCTTTTATACTGCACTCTGTTGGGATTCTGTACACGTACCAGCAAGTAGTGTGTCTATGACTAATGAAAGAAAATTGGTGGCAATGATAAAAATGGTTCTATTGTTTCAAAGCAGCATGTGTTGTGAGATAGGTGGTTAAGTGCATACATTTAAAAGATTATGGCGGTTTTGTCCCTTCTTGGAAGCAAAGCCATTTTGGCCGTTTGCAATTTTTTACTTCTGGTGAGTTGTTACTTTATTGCATATTTAATAACGTATTAAAATCTTCGTAGCTTGTAACATTTATTAATTCATTCCCTTTTGGTTAACAAAATTCGTTACTGAAATTATTTTCAAATTTACTTTACACAGTATGTGTAAAGTAAAAACACAAATTACTGCATTGTTGTTGTTTGCGGAAAAAGTCAATAAACGTACCTTTGTTATAAACACAGAAAATACACAGACAAGCAGTAGTTCATAATTTATACTTTTCGGGATTATAAAATGGAAACATATGAACAGAATGTAAATTTGTTTTTTTTAAGTTTTTTGATAACTAAGCGGATTTTTTATTAGGCACAGGATTTTCAGAAGGAAGGTTGTTAAACGAAAGAAAAAATAAATAATTTAATTAATGAGACAAGACAATACAATTTCATTAAAAAATGTTTTGTCAAATTTCTCATTCACAAAATGCCCAGGATAATCAGGATATACGCAAAACACGATCAGTATTTATTATTTTATTGAGTTTAAACTTATACTTTTTTGACACAGAATGACGCCAATATTATACAGTTTTGGGTACATTTTTGATATATCTTCAAGCTCTTAAGAATTTGTTTTCTACGTTAAGCATGAGATTCTTAAGTTAATTCCATTAATCTCGTCAAACTTTAGCAGGAGAATTAAAACAAAAGTGGACGAAACGTTGAAACCCATTTTTTTGACCATTTTTGACATTTCTTAAAATAAATTTTAGTATTTTATTTTTATTAAGTTAAAAAATAATTTTTCTCATATTCGCCTAATTTTAGGTTATTATTCAAAATATAATGTTTCAATTTGCGTCCTAGTTAAAATATATCTATCTCGCATCTGTTAGTGATTTGATTACATAAATAATTTCTCAGACTTCCGTACCGATTACATTGAAATAACTATAATATTAATGCGCAGATGTTAAAACGTCAGTGTAATCTCAAAAAATTATTACATAAATCCTATCGACAAATGCCATCTGATGTGCAAAATTCTTGTAAATAATTTTACATGTGAGAAATTTGGAAGATGCAGATCGTTTTGTATTACATATACGAGGATGGTCCCAGAAATACCCGACCTGACGTATAGATGCTGCTCCTTTGTTGACAAAAATTATCTAGATCGAAAATACCAACTCTATGAAGCTAAAGTTTGAAATTTCAAGGCTCTACGTTATTTAGTACTTATTTTATAGCGGTTAATAGTGACTGATCTCAGTGAAGTTGTAAATATGGAAAAAAATGGTCATCGTTATGTGATACAATACTTTCACTTGAAAGGTCTCAGTCCAACCAATATCAAAGCCGAGCTGGATTCTACTTTAGGGGGGTCTGCTCCTTCGTTTACAACTATAAATTATTGGGTGGCAGAGTTTAAACAAGGCTGTAGGAGCTGCCAAAAGGAACATCGTAGTGGTCGACCAAATGATGTGACCACACCGGGAATGGTAAAAAAATCCACAAAAGAGTATTAGATGACCATCAACTAAAAGTACCCGAGATAGCAGACATGTTGGGCATTTCAAAAAGTGGTGTACATCGCATATTGACCGAAAATTTGGGCATGAAAAAGCTGTAAGCAAGATGAGTGCCGCGTTTGTTTACTATAGAACAAAAACAGCGCCGTGAGGGTGTTTCAGTCGGGTATTTAGCAATGTTTCGCAGCAATAAAGCTGAGGTTCTGCGTCGATTTATAACATGGGTCCATCACTTCACTCCAGAGACAAAGCAACAGTCAAAATAATGGACTGGACCTGGCGAATCAGCGTTAAAGAAGGAGAAAACAGTTCCGTCTGCTGGCAAGGTAATGGCGTCAGTTTTTTGGGACACCCGTGGAATCATTTTTATTGATTTTCTCCAAAAAGGCAAAACCATTAACAGCGAGTATTATGCGAACTCATTGCTGCATTTGAGCGATGAAATCAATTAAAAACGGCCGCATTTGTCGAAAAAGAAAGTATTGCTGCATCAAAACAATGCACCTGTTCACACATCCTTATTGTAGTGGCCAAAATCAACGAGTTAAAATTCCAGTTGCTTCCTCACACATCCTATTCACCAGATTTGGCCCCTTGGACTATTTTCTCTTCCTAAACTTGAAAAAATGGTTCGCTAGTCAAAAATTTGCCACCAATAAAGAGGTGGCATCTGCGGCTAATGGCTATTTTGAGGTGTTCGACGATTCTTCCTATAAACAGGGTATCGAAGCCATTGAACAACGCTGGGAAAAGTGTATAGAATTACAAGAGGACTACCTTGAAAAGTAAAGAGTCCTTTTCCTAAATTTTTTGTGTCTTCTATGTCAGGTCGGGTATTTCTGGGACTATCCTCGTATGTATAAATAATATCAAAGCTATTTGTTTTTACAGTACAAAAAACTTTTTAGAACTCAATAAAGTTAGGTTGTGTTAGGTAATGCAACAATTAAAAATATAGTCAGTTACTAACTTTTCTCCATTACGATTAAATTAGGCAAATAATCGACTTCAACATATAATTAAAATTTGAGTTATTTCTGTTTATACGTATGCGATACAAATTGAAAAAAATAACTTTTGAATAATTCTTCTTTTTCGTTTGTTTACATTTTTTTACAAAGAATGCGTTATTGAAAGAAGAGATTTAAGCAGCATTATCTTTATATTTAAACATTTTTTGCTGTAGAACATTTAATGAAGCATAGTCGTTACTGATTTACTGACGTATAAACAAAGTACACTTTTTTCCGACTTGTAAATTAAATAATTTCCTCTGTTTAACCCCAATTAAGAAAGACACGTTTAATGACAAGACTTTTATTCCCATGTCTAAGTAGGTAACGTTTCTAAATTGGATAATTGTTTACTTTGGTATTTCTCCGAAAATAGGTTAAACCGAAATAATATTAATGGAGAAACTATGAAGAACATCTTTGTATCAACTTTAAAGTAATTTTATACGTTTTATTTAAAATATTAGTACTTCCTTTAAAAAATCTAACACAAGGTAGGAGTAAACAATTTTCACTTTTTTAAGTACCTATTCAAGTTTTTAAGTTTAAATGTGTTTACAGGCTTGTGGATTTTTTTTAATAACCGGAGGTATGCTGTTACTCTTGGACAATGAAAAAATCCTCTTGTCGCGATTATTGACGTCTGGACCATTGTCGACAATGCCTCAACCGTTTTTATTTTATATTGGAATCGGTATAGCATCTGTAGGACTTATATTGACATCAACAGGAATTTTGGGATGTTGGGCTTCCTGCATGCATAGTTACTACATGCTTACAGCTGTAAACTTTAAAGTTATAAAACTTCCAACAATAATAATAATGAATATTTTCAGTATTTTTTAATAATAATGGTTGTACTGGTGGGGGAATGTGCTGTGTATGCCACAGCCTGGGCCTGGCCAAATTGTCTTGGTCTTGATGTAGATCCAGAAGCTTTGACTAAGGCACTACAACGAAATTATGGAAATGCGGGACAAGAACAATTTACGGCAGCCATCGATTTAGCACAAACTTTGGTAAGATATTTGAACACTGGAAAGGGTAATGTAAATCTGGCTTTGTCTTGTAGTTCAATTGTTGTGGAGTTGAATCGGCCAACGAATATGATACCTCACTATGGCGTCTTCAGCCGTTAAGTCCTTCATTGGCTATTCCGTTGACATGCTGCAAGTTAGAGAACTACAATGCATCTAAAGCATATCTAAATCCCCAACCTATCAATAAAACTTTGTGCCAAGCTCTTGAACCAAACAGACATGAAGGCTACAGACATCTAGAGGTAAAACTTTTGAAACTATATTTTACAAAAGTCTTTATTCAGTTTTATATTTTACTTATTACACAAGCAAGTAGTGGGTTGTTCGTTTGAAACTTATAGTTTATGCATGTCAATTAATGATAAAAATACAAATTTTGGAAGAAAGTAAAAGTAAAATGGTGCTCGTTTCAGTTAAATAAATAGTTGGCACTTCAGTGCAATTGCGACTTATTTTTAAGTTGGAAATAGAACAAAGTTGCAGTGGCGTGGTGAATTTCAATAAATATTTTGTAGAACTTTTAACTTGAAATGTACGTTAACATTGGGATTTAGACATTGTCGATAGGAAAAAAAGCACATTAACGACGCAAAAATATACTGTGAGATTTCTACTAAATTCTAATACATTTTTCAGAGTCTAACGTATTTATTGCGTTTTTCTGGTTATTAATACAACGTCTATTAGTGTTGCATATGTTACGGTAAAGGTAATTAATCGGGTAATTATGAATAATAGCCAGAGATTATGCATAATACCTGACTACATTGGTTACTATAATTAATATTATGCAATTTATTAAATTTATCGGCAAGTATTCATAATCTACAGGCTCTATTGATAAATATTACAAGAAATAATAAAGTCAGATCTTCCAGAACGTTTTTATTATTTCAAACAGAACGATAAAACAACCAAATATCATATTATTTTTAAAATGTTAAAAAAGGCATTATTTATTGTCGCAAGATGAATTGCTATGGCATTTGGATTTACATAGTTTACTATTATTTTTGCATTTACATTTCTTTGATGTATATTTACCTTTACAAAGGCATCTTTATACTCTTGTCCACCACATAGGGATGTTTTTTTTTTTTTTTTGTATACTCCCGTAAAGAAATTTTTACGTCAGGAACTTCCTCAAGTCCCATTATTTTTTCTTCGCAAATAATAAATTCGTTCCTTGATTATAAATGGGACAATATTCTGTGTTTGGTTTCCAATTCATAAAGCTGATCGTCTTGCACAGCTATTATGATAGCTAAACAATTTATCAGATCACTTCTAGGTCTCTCAACATCCAGAATGCGTACTTTTACAATATCTCCTACATTTCCAGCAGGAAATTTTTGCATAGATTTTTTGTTTCATTTTTAGCGCTTGTATTTCCAAATTAGCTTTTGCCATTTTTCGTTTTTCTGATATAAGTGATTTTTGGTTCTTAGTGAAACTACAACCGGATAAACCATTTATTTCACCTTTGTCCTTGTCGTTTGGAATAGTTAGTTGGATGTCTTCTTAGTTTGCATTCGAGTTACTGTCGTCGTTATTTGGAGAAGTTTCCACCATCAATACCATTTACATTTTCGGTATTGATGTCATCATTACCATCTTCTCTATTAAACATTTTATAGCAAACATTAAATTGTTAATGTCTGAAAGTATTAAAGTACAATAGGTACATTAATAAATTCAGAAAAAAATCTGTACAAAAATGTCTAGAAATATATACAGTGTCATCAAAAAAAGTTGAATGTGGTAGGCAAAAACAAATGATAGTTAAGAATTAATTTTTCAAATCAGGTCCTACTATATTTACAACTAATTGACGTGTTGTACTTGAAAAAATAAGATAGCTACGGACCTATTTTTTACAACACACGGTATATACAGGGTTACTGATAAAAAACCTTTGTTGCTTATTTTCTGCAAGGTTTGAATAAACCAAATACACCAAATAAAATTGTTGTGAGAATATTGTAATATGAGTCTGTTTGAATGCGGAGTGCGGACTGTCTTCAAGAGAACAGTCAACTTAATTTTCTTAAACGGTACTTTATATATTTTTTTACTCGATTATGTAAAGTCATTTTTTCTGAATATGAAAAAGTTGGCAACTATAGTCATGCATGTGTTTTTCTTTTTTCCTTATTTTTTTTACTAAAATAAAAAAAATGCATTCGTATGTAAAAAACAAATCTCTACAAAAATAAATAAAAAAATACACAGGACAATTTAAAAAACTACATTCTACATGCACTTAATGGAAGTAGTTAAGTTTGACCTGGTTTATTTTGATGTTCGTAACACGTATGACACAGTTTTCTACATTTCTTCTTGCGTAAATTTTCATTAATTAAGTTCCTCCTTAAGGTTAATTGAAGCTTATTTGTGTAGAAAACTTAAATTTCTCCAACACAAATCTTTTTCATATAGTATGAGCCATGGGCCCAAATACTCTAAAATGATGAGTCTGACCACTTATCTAAACTAGGAATTTCTTGTGTATTTACAGAATACTATTAATAATAATGATTGTTTTATCGCAATGCTGAGTACTCTGAGTAGTGTCTGTAATTTAAGTGATATTGTAAGGTATTTTGTAACAAAAATTGATGATTTTTTTACAAGTTTTCTAAAATTTAAAAATTAGACTTTTCGTAAAAATGTCCTATTTAGACCAAATATTTTTTTCGCTAGAAGAAGCTGTTTATTTTTATACAAAAAGAATATTACCAAATCTTAAAGAGAATAAAAAAGAGACAAATTATGGAAAGAAACATTAGTATTAGAATGATGACTGCAGTACTAGTTAAAACCAATATACAAGATTGTAAACATTCCTAAAAATGTCTGAAATTAGATGATCTCTCTATCATTTATGGTCAATTTAGGACTGATAGACTATATAATAAATATGTGCCCACTGTCTCGTGGAAAAGAGCGTCTACTAGGTTTTGAAAATGTAGTAAATTCAAGACAAGTATAGGTACCTTTTAAAGTAACTTTTAATCCTATGGTATTTTAATGTACTACTAGATTCTAAAAATAACAAAATTTTGACTTTGTGGAAGTGACGAAAAATGCCACGGCCTGAACGCACTTATCGGGTGGATATATTGTCAGTTATATTAGCAGGTGTCGTGATATTTTCTCTTAACTTTCCACGTTATATTGTGCCGCCATAATTTAAAAAAATAACGCAGTCATTAAAACGTATATGTTTGTGACTATTCGATTTTATACTTATATGGAAAGATATGGCTAGATGTAATTAATTAATATTCCTTTAAATTACAGGGCTGTAACGACCACCTTCAACAATGGTACAGAAGACACTTTCTTCTATTTTTGGGAACGGGATTGGCAGCAGTTTTGGTAGAATTTTTAGTTTTGCTTAGCACAATTTTAATGTGTACGAGAATTTATAAACACAACCTAGAAGTGAAAGAAAATGTGAGAAACAGTACGCAGTCCAAAACTGTTTCTACTCCTGCACAGACTTTCCAGAGAAGAACTCCAACCACTGCTTACACTAACGAAACATACGCGATGAGTAATAGTTTTCGACAGAATTATAAACTTGTTGACAGAATATGATGGTGGTTTAAAGGCTTTGTTTTACCAAACAATGCCTGTGTTTACGAATTGCGAAATGTTGAAATTGAGTCAATGTTGTGGTAAAGTTAGAAATGTAATGTATTTATACGAACTGTATTACTGTCTCTCGATATTTATTATAGTTTAGTTTAGCAACTTATGTAGCAACTTGTAAATATATTTTTAAATTTATATTTTTAAAATAAACATTTAAATAACAATATAGCTGTGGAAAGTATTTTGTTAAAAAAAAAATCATCCTAGTGAGCAAAATATATATAAGAATATTTCCTACTGATGTATTTAAAACGAAGTTTTTTCTCTTATAGATATGATATAACACTGAATGAAACATTTTGAGAAATGTTTGAGAATAGTTGGATCAGAATGGATGACAGATCAGAAGACACGCCTGGCTGATCTCGGCGGTTTGTCGGCTTTGTCGGGAGCGATTTGTTCGGATGCCAGCGTTTTCTTCGGAAAGGAAATATTTGGGTTGCTCTAAATTCGGAGACACGGACTACAATAATTGGTCCAGTAGTTTCGGAGATTCTGTCTAATAAAAATCGAGGGGTCATGAAACGTCGATAAAACCTGAAACTGGCAAGTCGTCCGATGCCATTAGCTTAAACTCGGGCACGGGAGACCACTTTTTTGTACTCTAGGGAGTATGAAACGTCGAGAAAAGATGAAAGTAGCAAGTCGGCCGGTGGACTTGAATAATACTTTCTTGGCTTAGGCGAGTGTAGACAGATAGCAACGAAATATTGTGGTACTTCAAGATTTCTAATGTGAAAAGTACTAATTTAATTGTATTTGCCGATTTGTTTTTGTGATAATATATGGCAACTAGATAATTTATATTATTTAACAGTCTACACTCTACACATAAATTTATTTTAACATATTCGGCTTATATACAAAATCAAATTATGTATTTGTTCGAAGAAGTTGGATTTGTTGTTGTGACGTCGAAAGCAAAAGTGAAATTCATAGAATTAAAAAATATGTAAAATTGAAATGTCGTATATGCAACCAACTATACGCTGGCAGTGTTGCTGTAGTTGCTATATATAGAGTGATTTAGTATGGTATTCGAACTCGAAGAAAAAGAGTTGCAGCACTTGTATACTTAAAAAATAATGTATTATTTCTTTATTGCCCATAAATATTGCGGAAACTTTAAGGTGATGGATTTAAAATTTATTAAACTAATGTATCTAGTGGAGATTCAGGTTACAAAAAATTCACAAATTTTAAAAAATCATAATTTATTGAACTGATAAATCATACAACATTGATATGACATGAATACGTACAGTTTGTATTTAAAATAGAGCTAAAATGCATTATACAACTTTGCTGAAGCATTAGTACTGAGAAAATAATATTGTTTTCTCCTATATGCTAATAATTGTGAGCAGTGTACATGTTTCACTTTACTTATTAGATGTATTTAAGTGTCAATCGTGACAATTTGTAAAGTGTAAGGTACAAAAGTTTGTGCAAAAATGTAAAGTATTATCAACTTGATAAAAAAAAATATATATACATTCTGAATTCGAAATGGTAAGGTTATAAAAATTTCGATGTTCATTGGATAAATCTTACAAGTAACAAAAGGTGAAGTACATACTACTTTTAATTGTCTAGTGCTATATTTGGCAACGTAGATGTAATTATCAAATTATACAGGTACACGAGTAAAATAAATCACAAAAATATTGTAAATAATTCGGTTGAAAATAAATTCTATTCCCTATAATTGGGATTATTTTTCAACGAAATGTGAACGATTTGGCACATTTATAAAAATGCGTCACATTTTGCTTATTTGCGCTGTATGTACAGTAAAGAATTCTTAACGTCTAAATTACAGCTGACATTTAATTCTTACAATTACCATTTTAATGATTTCAGTTTATAATTAATGGGCGGATAATTTACACTTTTCTTATGTACACATGTAACTAAACGTATTATGTTATGTTTATCTTACGCGAAGTTGTTACTATGTAAAAATTCCGTTTTATAGTTTTACTTTTATAAAATAAAATTAAAAGAGCTATAACAGTGCTATTATAACGTTATACTACCTTTACGAAAGTCTAACAAATTATAAATACTAAGTTTGTCTTGGAAGAAATTCATGGAAATTATATTTAAAAATCTGTTTCCCTTTGATTTTGAAGCGGTACTTGATCATACTTTATTAATAAATAAATCTCTGTCGCTTTTCATAAAGATGAAGGGTAAAATTTAATGAAGTGAGTATTTTGTAAAATAAATATAGTTAAGTAAGTTATTACTAAAAGTAAAATATGTATAAATACTTAATGTATTGATTTAAGTTGTACATTATAATTAAACGTCTATCATTTAAATTTATTAAATTGAAAAAAAGTTAAAATGTGAATGTGTAGGTTTCACAATACTTGAAATCCTTACGATTCAATAATAGAAATACAATTAAGAATTTGTCAACACTCTCTTTTCCTTTTAATGAATGATTTTAAACAACATCATTTGAGTATAATTTTTAAAATGGATTTTGCTGTAAACAACATTGTTTATAAGATACACAACAATCTACAGATTTGGAATCACATTTTTGACGTTACATCGCTGGCACATTCTAGTAACAAGAAATATGTTAACAAATTACTCACTTCTCTCCACCGAGTGTGTTGATTGTGTAATTGATTTTAATACCAAAAGACACTTACAAATATTGCTAATTGTGGTTGAGTCTACATAAATATCCAAGCATTATCTGCATTCCGATCAATAAACTCAGCACAAAGTTTATCGTCTACGTTATGTACAATTTACAAATCGAAAACGAGATCATCAATTATACTCTAATCACAACACGTATTTTCACTTTAATAACGAAGGAAATAATTACGTGAAACCTTGACTTCGTAATTTCTCTCCATCAGCAATTTTGGAGTTCGCCTTCTTTCTTAATTGATCGTCAACGACTTCTTTTAACATACCCCAAAGTTCTTCCTTATCTAAAAGCACGTACTGATCATTTTTTATTTCAGGAGCAAATGTCGCTAACGACTCCTCTGAGAGCCTCTCTGTCCCTTTTTCTATGTATTTTACGGGAATGTTGTGTAACACAGTATTTACATGCTTTGGCGGTGAAATATTTTTCTCTGCGACAAGATTCCTTGGTGGCTTTGTAGATATTGTAGAATCAGGAGTTGTACTAGACGTATTCACATGTGTTGTAATATTTGGTATATCAGTGGAATTCTCGGTTATGTTGTTATATATCGATACAGCAATCTTTTCTTTGCTTAAAGAATGTTTTTTCTTAAAAGATTCTTCGTTTGGTATTACATTTTCTTCGATTGTGCTTTCGGTAGTTTTTAAATAGATTTTAGTCGAACTTGTAGAAGTAATTGATGTTAAGTTTTGATATTTTTTAGTGTCATTCACATTTGATATGGAATCATTATCAACATTAATCGTGTAAGTTGCAACACTAAGAACTTCTAGTTTTGGTGAAGGTACTGGAGCATAATCAGTTGTAGTACTGACAGTGCTGGAAGCAGTGTTACTTGTAGTACTAACCGTTGAGGTCGTAGTTGGCAAAATATCTCTTACACAGCTTTCAGGGACCTGAAAATACGGTTGACTACTGCTAGTTTTATTTTTACCAAACCATGTAATCAAATCATCTTCGGTTATCGATTTTAACAAGTTGCTTCCAATTTTCGTATGGAAAAAGGTTTCTGCCGCTAAATCCTGTCTACCTGCAGGAAATACCTTGGCATATGCTGGACGAAGGGAAGAAATTACGAAGGCGCTCCGAGCCATATATTGTACGCAAACCGGGCATAAAGTAGAAATATTGGCAAAAATAAACCACAATTTGTTGTCGTGGAAATTATGTTGCATTTCAGACATATCTTCTGGTGGATTCAATAGCTGTGGAGGAGTTGTAGCTAGTTCGTAGCCCGAGAACAGAGAAATTTCCAGACGCAAAATACCGGAGGGCGTTAAACCCTTCCAACTGAAGCATGTTTTTAATTTAAGCATGGGAAGTTTTCCTTCTATTTCATCGACAGAACTGCGATCAGGCAGAATTTCTTGAATTACTCCTGACCATAGCTCGAGCAGTGGTGTTGTATTCTTAATGGAGTAGGTTGAGTACGATACTTTACCCTGCAAATATCAAGAGTATTAATAGTCGATACAAAAATATATTCACAGGTTTTGAGGAGACATTTTTTTATTATAGTTATTTGGTGAAAGAACGAAATTCATTCTGAAAAATCAAACGTAATGTTAGTCTATTTGAGAGATTCAATTTTTTGAGATTATAAATATACAAAAACCCTTGTTACAGCTTAAAAGTATTTATTAATTGTGTAATTAAAATACTTTGTTGCATTTTTATTTTTGCATACTTCGTTTGTGGTGAGTACACTTCTTATATTATCTCCATATTTTTCTTTCGTTCCTTTCCTATCTATTCTAAAACTGAATCAATATTTGAACTTATGAGGAAGATATTTGCTCAAATTCTATCACAATAAATAATAATTAACAACATTGTTGAGTTTAAAGTATTCTATTAGTAGGACATTACTATATGTACATACTTATATTGATTGTATCTTTACTGGTCTTACGTTAACATATGTTAAAGTGGTTGTTAGTTACTTAAGAATTTAACTTGATTAATTAAGGTAACATATTCAGTATTCTAATTTAATATGTCGATCATTTTAAAGTGCTTTCGATTAATTACAAATTTATGTAATAATTATTTCTAGCACCTTGAGTGTCGTTAACGTTAATGGCTAACACGGCTAGATTTTATATCTCCTCTCAAGCCGATGGATGTTTGATCTTACGACGTCACCTGTCATCTGGTTGATATAGGTATGACTGACGGACAGCATAGTAAACTACCGTGGAAAGTCTTTATTTGTAAGATCCTGTCTAGATGATTTTGACCTAATAGTCTGTTAAAGTTGCTTATAAATCAATTTAACCGCAAAACCAAGTTTGAACAATTGTCAGTGTCACATGGCGTTTATACAATCGAACCTGCAGAAAACAGTTTGTACACTTCAAACGCACCCCTCTGGGTGGCTTATAGGTCATGCTATCGGCTTGAGATCGCACAATTGCAAAATATTGATCTTTAAATGAAAAAGGCGGTCTAGGATTGTGATTATTGGAAATGGAAAGTATTGTTATATAAAAGTAATTATTGTTATCAATTGATACTACATAATATTTATAACAACATTGTGAAGAACATTAATCATAATAAAGGTTATAACGACTTTTGTTATGGTTCTATGTATTAAAGGCGATGTGTGTGTAGAAAATTTTCCAGTATGACAAATTCCTTGAGTTGTAAAATATGCTTGATTAGCAATATTTGACACATTCAGTCACCACCCCTAACAGGTTGTCCTTTCAAGTTGGCTAACTGTTTATCCATTCGTCACTGAGAGAATGTGTTAAAGCAACAAATTACTACGTTTGTTAATCCTTTTCCCATATTTGAACCACCTTATATTTGCGTAATTTTCATATTGTTGTTTCTTGTGGAACATTGTTCTTTTAAACATAAACTATTAATATTATTATTATTACTAATAAAGGAAATGCGACAGTCACACATCATAAAATTAGTCGAAACATTTTTGATGGCACACAAAATGAGAAAAAACCGTTTTTTTTAAATAAGCTTGTTCAGTTTTTAAACAAATCATTCTAAGATAGAATTTATAAACAAATGTATAACATAATTTTTGAACAATCTGGAGTACAAACTATTTTCTAAAAATTTGTGGACTACACGAATTGAAATTTTCTGCTTGTCTAAACAACAATATTTAGTTATGTTACTAAAAACGTATACGTTTTTAATTTATCATTAATAGCACTTCGTGTTTATGACAAAAATATATTTTGAAGAGAAACCCACCAAACACTGACTTATGGATTTTTAAAAATATCATTTTTCTCATTATCATTGTTTTTTGAGATTTCTCCAAAATTGCATTCATCTAATCAAAATTTTTATTATGTAAACTGCCTCTTGTTAATTAAATATAAATCACCTTAAAATGTAGATTTTGCTTCGGGCAGTTTGTGTCCTTTTAATATGTAAATCTAAAGCAATTTGGTCGACCAATTTTTGGGAAATACCAAAATAAAATTATATACCATGATGTAAAAAAGCTGATTTTGTGAATTTAAAATATTGAATAGAATGATATAACTAGAATTTTTTGAATTAGGAGGTTATTATAATAATTTGTGAGTGTATTTGAAAATTATTATTACAATTATAGGGATGTTTTTTTTAAATTAAGACATTCTTTTAATTTTATCTCACCTAATTATGTTTATGTTGAATAAAAAAAACTTTGTTTTTAGAACTTATATTTTGTGCAAATGAAAGACCATGGTATTGTTTGTTGACTTGGAGTATCATGATAATTGGATAACTAAAAAGTTTACTTATGCCGAGAATTTTCAAACTTGTTAGTAAAAAGAAGCTTCTAGCCGCTTCTAAGACACAAGCTTCTTTTTACTGTATCTCATTTCCAAGAGAAAAGTCGAAAATGTATGATGTCTTGAGTTTTGTAAGCTATAAACAGTGGTGGAAATCGCGTTCCAAAATTTCCATAAATAAGTGAGATGTTGATTTTTAAAAATACGTGGTATAAATATTTAAAAAAAAAATAATGATAAACCTTAAAAAAATGTCATCGCATTATATAGCGATAGTCGTGGATTGTTTATATGTAAAATTTCATAACAATGAGTGTGTTAATAATAATGGATTATTACATTGTAAAAATGTTTGACAACGCCATAAGAACCAAACGTAGCGACAGCTCTGAACCGTGGTCTATGATTTGGATTCCCGTATAGTCTATGGTTTTTGTTCTTACTTAAATTTGCCGTGACATCACCGATATAACTTGTGTCTCATCATCCTGTTACTTTAATGATAATTTTTCTTTCTTTTTTCTTTGTGTGTTTATTTTTGTGTGTTTGTGTGTGTAAATATAATTTGTAACATTTGATTTAATTTTTAAAGAGTGAAGAGGGTTTTCGTAGCTGGGAAGTGAGTCTATTACTCCACACTTTTTCCCTATCCAGAATCAAGGAATAAACATTTTTTTCTATATATTTTGCATTTTGAGTTACGGACATTTTTCCAACTTTGGGGTTCACCACTTTGGATTTGAACACATTCCGCTATAAAAACCACATAACTTAGGGTTCGATTTTGTTGACAACCACACTTCATATTTCAAATTTTGTATTTTTGACGTTTTCTTTTTTAATTCTGTGTAAATACATAATTTTGGCGGGATGCATGTGTTTTCAGAATATATATTTTATGATTTTTAACGCATCACCAGGTTAAATTTACTTTAACAAAATTACATTTTTGTTATCCTAGCTGTTAATCCAACAAAATAAGTGTTAAAATTTATATGACTGAATAATATGTGAATATTTTGCTGTGTAGTCTGATTTTTCATTATTTCAATTGCAGTCAATTTAAATGAGTTATTTAGCCCTATTTTACGGAAGTTATGGTTCAATGCCACAAATTAAATTCTAGAGCATTGATAGTTTTTGTGTTCCGGAGCACATTTTGGTTGAAAAAAAAAGACTTATGTTAACAATAAATTTAAAGGTAACTAGATAATAAAAGTGAAAGTTTTAATTAAGACAAAAAAATGCTTTAGAACAACAGGTATGTTCACATTTTGCTAGATTTGTATTAATAGACGGACATAAATTAAAGGTACAATTTGCTCGGAAAGTTTTTCGTCCCTCCAGCGGTTCCTTCCCGTCGTGAACCCTGATCCCTTACTGAATAATGTTAATACTTCTATTATATTTCATATTGCAACTAGCATTAAATCTTATCTAAAAGTTAAATACAATTTGTCATAAAATGTCAGCGTTCACTGCGGGATAGAACGGCGGGAGAGACGCAAACTTTCCGAGGAAATATAAAGTAAAAATATTTTTTTCCATAAAACAGAACTGACTTAAGAAATTATAGCAACAATGTATTAAATTTAAAAGTTTCACACATTATTGTATGTTTTATCAGACTGACGAATATCACAAAATTGTTTTTTAATTTTATTTTAGTTCGCAGACATTATATTCGTCTGAATAGTTTTCCTGTATCTTAATATAATTTCATAAAGAAAGGTTTTACATGCTGAAAATAACAAAAAGAATGCACATATACGTAGTAAAGTAAACTTATAGAAAATGTGAAAAGGAAAAAATGTACCTATAGGTATTACAATTTTTGAAGCGTTATTTAGTCAATGTAAATTATCTTGCAAACTATATGTTAAAATGCTTTAATGCTTATATGATTTTGTTTAGATTAATCGAAAATGTATTACGGTAAACGAGCGCAACAAAAGAAAATATTTATTTACTTGAATGGATATAGCAGAATTAGCAATTAACTTTTAATTATAAAAAGATTCATACCTGTATAGTAGCGCATCCAGCTCCTGTTGCGTAGACAAAAACTTTGGTAGGAAGACTAGGCAAGTGTAGTCTTTGCGATGGCTTATCTGGCTTCAGCTCTAAAGTGTCTGTAAGTTCCATTCCGGAAGTTGCTAGTGAAACCGTTAAAGCTCTATGTCGATCTCTCGCTAATAGATCGTACTGAGTGAAAGTTTTTACAGCCTGATACAGTAATTCGGGATGTTTATCTAGCATGTGAGATCGATAGAATAAATACCGCGCCACACTTTCAGCAAATTTCAAATCCCCGATTATGCAGAAAGTGGATAGCGCGTGAAGGGAGGCTTTGTATTCATCCAAGGTGGTTGCTAACGGTTCTTTAAGTGTTTTTCCTGCCTCCGATTCATACAGCCAATCGGCGGCGTCTCGTCGTGGAACGAAATGCGGCCAACCGAATTCCCCATCTTCTGTTGTGGAGACGTTCCTTAATTTCTCGATTGCCCAGGACGCGGTGGCACTGCGGACCAGAACTAAAGCTAATGCCACAACAGCTATCGTTTCGGGTCTTTGCAGCTTAGGTAAGCTGTTTTCTAAAAATATTTTTGCTTTTTGCAACGTGTCGGAATCGACGTCGCTTTCTATTCCGATTTCGTACAACGCTATGACCGTGTCGGCGGTAATTTCGACAACGTGCTCGAGTAGAGCAGTTTCCGAGCTTAAGTTCTTTCGCATAAATTCGGAATGTTTGGATAGTGGTAATTTTATGTCCGCGGGAAGCGGGGTAAATCGACCGTCGTCTTCTTGGCGGAGTTGCACCCAACGCTTGATGGCTTGGATTAGATCAGGATCGATGCTGAAATATGTCTGGACCTTGGTCAATGCTTCTAAAATCGTCACAGTGGCGGAATGACTTCCCAGCATTTGATGCTCGCTGAAAGAGTTGTCAACCTTGCGATAGGAAAGGATGGTTTGTATCTGAAAAAAGTTTTAAAAAGATTCATTTTGTATGGACAGATACTGTGCTGAATAAATTATTATTCTCGGTCAATGAACTCTGATTGATTCGAATAGTCTCTAGTATGGTATAGCATAACCACAATATAATAACGTTTTTTAAGAATTGAGTTTGAACTTAATAGCATTTTTGAATATCAGTCAATATAATGAAAAAATAACCTAAAAAAGAAGAGTTGTGCAGAACTGTAAAGCAACTGTCTTTAATAGTAGTTGCCTGTAGAAGTTGATACAGTTAACTTGAAGTGTAAAAGGATTTAGACAAATTATTAATGACCAACTCCAAGTATACTGTTTGCAATAAATCTGAGAACTTTATCTTCATTATATATTATTAGTGCTTCCAATTCCGCAGGTTTCGTTTAACATCGACGCTTAATACTAATTCTGAACTTGAACAGGTGAACACTCTAATTTACCTACTTAACAGGAATGAAATCACATAAAATTGTTCGCGCATTCAGTCTCACTATTGAAAAAGAATGTAACTACTACCCTTATCAGTAGAAATTCGATTCCCACTCAAAGAACAGATTAAACTGCATTGAATAACACAGAAAAATGTAATTATTATGGAAGGCTAAAATATTTATTTTATACGTGACAGTATCGCACTAGGAGTGGCAGATAAAAATTGAGTGAAAACATATATATCGATGACACAATAACATTCCAAAAATCTCTCAAAATTGTGGTTCCATCAGAAGGAATCGTGAAATAATTAGATGCTTTCCATCGAGGTATGGTTATGCTTCTACGTTTATCCCTTGTCTTCCCGAATGAAGGTAGCAAGAGTAAAATCTTGCTCTCTGTAATTTAAATTTTCATTTTTTAAACGTCTGCAAGTAGAAATTATTGTTAAAAAAAAATAAACATAAATTCATTGAGTTTGAATATAACCTCACCTTCGGAATTTGTTATATTTACGCTATAGTATTTGAAGCGCTTCTGACATTGTCTTGGAGAAAATGATATATTTTTCAAATTAATTTTTAAATTTGAAATAGGTGATGTACCCTTTAAAAAAGTGCTGGACGAAGAAGGAAATTCTGCCACTGTGTGTTAAGTCATTTGCTAAATTGTCGCAATAGTGTGCGATCGATATCTATTATTGTGCGTGAAAGCATAATTTAAACTGGTGTGGGCGTTTATGTAAGAAAGACAGTGCAGATAAAAAAAATTCAAATTTTCAGGTTTAGAACATGAAATTTTTAGAAAAATACAGGAATGACTCGGATACAGGAAACGTACTGCCACAGCAAATTAATGAGGTTGTACGATGGGCAGGTTGGTCGACAGACGGTGGTGTGAAATATTTAAGATAGTACGTGTCATCAGCTCCTTTTACCAATGAAAGCAGTTCTTTCTTGGAAAAAAGTTGGAAGGAACCTCTTCAAAGAGAGATCAGCGTGGTTCGTCGTCTTATTTATAGATCAATATTCTCGTTATCTCGAAGTTGAAGAACTCCACAATACTCGAATGGAAACCGTAATTGAGAAAATGTTTCGATAATGGCTCGTTATGGGATTCCGGAAAAAATTAACCTGCAGTAGATCGTAATCTAACCCTAGTTTTGAGTTAAACAAGAAAAAAGAGTTCTATTCTATACAGGATCCTAAGATAATTACTAAAAATTCGTTATTAGTTTTTGCTTTTGAAAATTGTTTTATTTCTGTGTGTTTGTAGTGTTTAAATAACGTAGATTTGCAATTTAAGGAAGTTATAGCAAACAAGAAAAATATTTTTTGTTGTGGTATTAGAGTTTCGATAACAAAATTGTACTTGTAGTATTTGTTTTTGCTGTAATTTTTTCAAACTCTACAAAACACAGTCAAAAGTAACAAAAACAAAAGCGTCAAATAATTAGGCGTTATTATAGAAATACACACTTGAATGTTCCTATGTACGTTTCCATTATAGTTATATTTCAATACGTTAGTCAAAGAAAATTAATCCAAGGAAGTTTCACGCAAAATATGTACTAACGATTTAAATAATGCATCTCCATTGTGGTGCAAATTATTTTCACTGCATTAAGTAATAAAAATACAAAAAAAAGGAAAAATTTTGCTACCACGAGAGCATTGGTAGTTATATATATATATCTTGCACGTCTACAGTTTTAGTACCCTTAAAGAGAAGAAGAAATGAGAAAGGTTTGTTATTCGAGCTTTTCGGTTGGCAATCGTTCGTCAGAAATTGGAGATTCAAAAGCAGCCTTCTCCAAACTGAGGTCGCAACTGTTAAAATGCAAATTATTACTTAGAGAACATAATTTATGTATCACGTGACACGATTTCATCCAACTGAAGATGCTAGTTCCCTAGATACACTTTTTCATAGTTGCAGTATTTTATTGTGGTTAGATGGGGTTTGTTGTTACAAAAAATACGATAAGTAAATCAAGTTTTTTTAAATTTGAAATTCGAACAGAATTATGAGTTCTAAACGTCGGGGGACGGTAAACAAAAGGGAAATTGGTAACATTATTGAAAGCAGCGTAAAGTAGTAAGAAGTAGTTTACCCCCTTTGAAGACGGTGAATTCTTAGAAGCTAGAAAAACAAGGGGTGCCAAAAGGTGAAAAATCTTCAAAAAAGACCTGAGACGCATAAAATTAGTGATGCAGCGTTTACATTAGGAGAACATACCAAGGTAAAGAGACTTTCTGACGAAAATACCCCTGTAGGCTTACAAAAAAGCTTTATATTATAGCATCAAAACAACTTGCTTGGAGATGGAATGATGCACCATACGTAGTGATATACTATTTCAAAGTCGAAAAAGGTAACTGTGGTGATTTTACGGGGCGTGATAATATAATTTTTTTTGAAGGAGGTAGCAAACGCTATGCATTAAGCAAGTGATTAATGAAGAATGTAAATAAGGACAATTGCCCAGTTCGCTTGAATTTCAAAATCCTGGAAAAGTGGACTCAGAAGGCAACTTCCGATCGTTTCTGCCTGAGTGAGAATCCGAATTGGGAAAACTCCTGTTGGTATAGGAACTGTCCAATTGAAATTAACAAAATGTCTTCGTGGCCTAAACAACAACAAATTATTTATCAACTCTATGGGGGTAATTTAGCAGAAGATGACAAAAAATATTCAATTTCAAAATTTCAGCGTCAACTTCACTTCAGAATCATCCTACAATGATATAAAAAAAATCGTAGCTGATTTCACTCGAAAATATTTTCGACAATAATCATACCATTCATTATCTTTTAATAGAAAATATCATAGAAGAATATGTTATGCTATTTGCTCCTTTGGGGTTTCCCATTTTCTGTTCATTAAGATAATGCCTGTTGTCACATAGCGACAATTGCTGTGGATTACCTGAATGCTGTAGATATTCTCTATATAAACTGGCCAGCTAACAGTCCTGATTTAAATTTCATTGAGCACTTCTGGGATAAGGTTAAAAACGCAGTGAAAAGTCGTGCAGCTTTTCAGACATCCAGTTCTAGCACTAACAGGTTACAGCTGAGGTAGCGGATCTAATTTTCTTAACTGCATCGATGCTCAAAACAAATTTGTTGACAGTTCATTCAAACAGAGCTCATGTGTTATGTTTGTGTGTTATTTCTAAAGCAATGTACCTTTAATACGACGCGGGTTGTATGCGTTATACCAGTGTAAAAACATTTTTCTGGTATACAATGACAATGTATAATTATTAGTATGTAAAAAAGATTTAACGAAATTTTGCTACGGTTTTTGGAATAGGATATCGGATTGAAACTTTCGTCTAAAATACATTGCAAGAAATATGATTGTAATTTGGTCACACTTTCACAATATTTGCTTCTTTTGTTTTGTCCTACATCCAAACCGACAATTTAATTGCGGCGGAGAATTCTATGAAATAATTTATTAGAAATTTCTTTGAAGTACTATCCGACCCTCTAACGGATAGTTGTATATTGAGAAAGAAAATCCATTTATTGTTTGTTACATTTTTAAATAAAACTGAAAATTCCGAACATTATCTCAGAGGTAGAACTCACACGTAACATTTCATATTGTTGAAAATTAATCAGATTTTAAAGAGTATATAATTCATAAGTTTTTAAGCCAATCAGAATATTCTATTTTCTTAAAACTCGATTTATTAATAATCGATTATGCGGTTGACGACGTTATATACTTAATCGATTTTATGTTTCGTTTTTACATATTCTGTGTATGTCTATGGAAAATATTGCTCAACTAAAGCAGTCTGATTTAATTTAAGCATTTCTGGTAATATTTTAGTGACTGGCATCAACATTATTTTCAGCTTGATTCAACGATATTCTTTGGTTGCTTCTGCTCTATTTTATAAAAATATTAATAACGATGCTATAGACATTGTTGATCATGGCACACATCCATTGTTTATCACTAAATGAAATAAAGTTAAAACTTCGTGTTTTATGTCTTTTAAATACAAAAATTAATTACCTCACTTGAAACTTGACTCCCTCAAGCATAATTCCCACACCTATTAATCATCAGAGTGAAATTTATATTCCCGGCGCGTTAGCCTAATTATATGAGCAAGCAAGCAACCTAGTTCTCGCCCTAAGTTCTGGTTGAACTTGTTGGATGGTCCAAGATAAGATTAAGAGGATACTTACATTACCAGGTAAACTCTGCAAAGCTTGCAGGCGTTCGGTCTTGTTGGCTTTCTTGCCGAGATGTTGCAAAGTTAAAAGCGGAGTTAAAGCAGCCAAAGCACCGGAAAGTCCGCCACCTTCGATTTTCTTGTTTATGGCCGGCAGAGCTAAACCTCCCGCTACGAGCAACTTTCCCCATTCCGAACCTGGAACGACCGATTTTGGCGTGTCCAAATGGAGAACTTGCGAAAAGCCGGCTTCCTCATTGAAATTCCATATTCTGCAACGAAAGCAAAAAGAAAAAAATTATGTCTTTCTAGAGAAGCAGAAATTTCTGTTTAAATATTGTTATTACTACTATGAAACTGTTAGGTACTGGACCAGAAATAACTTTGTTGTCAACACTCGATTTATCCATAATGCGAAATTGTATATATTCAATATAAAAAGTATAGGTCTGAAAATTATGACAAACAAATATAATTATTCATTTTAGTTGCTCCAGGTACTTCATATTACGTTTGTTTAAAAGAGTAGCGGGCCAATTTCAAGTTGGATTTACGATTTCGTAAGTCCCTGTTGTCACGGAAGATGCGATGACAGCAGTCGTGAGGACGAATCAAATCCCGAATCGCAACAACTGTCATCGAAATTACCATAGCAACGGCACTTGCGATTTCGCAAATCCAAGTTGAAATTACCCCATAACGGACCAATTTCAAGTTGGATTTACGATTTCGCAAGTCACCGTTGCAATGGAAAATGCGATGACAGCAGTGGTGACAACGAATCAAATCGCGTATTGCAGCAACTGTCATCGCAATTACCATAGTAACGGCACTTGCGATTTCCCAAATCCAACTTGAAATAACCCCCTAAGTCTAAAACGATTTAAAACATTCCTGTCACAGTTTTTTCTTGATGTTTAAAACATGATTAAGAAAATTGAAAAAGAATTATTTTTAATTGTATTTTCTAAAAAAACAAACTGAATTCTAATTTTTAACTTCATCAATTGCAATTTTTAAAACTATTTGGATGTAAGTATTGTTTTTTTTTCATAGTAGTAAATTCCCTTTTAAGCTTAACTGGTGTCATATACGTAGAGATTGTCAATGACATCCTTCAGAACCATCATTATTATGCCAAAATTGTAAAAAGTCAATAAGCAGTGAAGGACTGAGAAAGTGTCAGTTTTTCTTCTGGCCAATTGATTGAAACAATGTAAGGAGTTGGCAGTTTCTTTTACATGACGTGTAATTTACATCCTTTTATCTTCTTTCAACATTTTATGGAATTTGTATTTATTATTCACGTCACAAAGGAACAATTTCAAACAAAAAAAAGGCAAATCTCATGGGCAATGCAATTCATACGAGAGTTTGGGGCGATGTTGTCAAGTTGAGCCGAATTGATTCATATCATTGAACTTGCGAAGAAGTCGTATATCAGTCGTGAACGATTTGTTATGGATACTAATTTTAGAAGTTAAAGTTTAATCCTGAATCTTAATATTTAAATCAGGTTTGGGTCATACTGACATCTACTAGATTATCTTTATTCTCATATTAATTACCAGCATCTAGGATATTTCGAATTTACCTTAGTATGTACATACGGTTGTGGAGTTTTATCTGGGCACCTGTATATTGTTTGCATAACTACTCATTTGCATCAAAAATTTTACACGAATTGACATTATGATGTTAAAAAACAGAACTCAAGGTTACAACGTATTATATTTCATCGTACACGTAAGTTAGGAAATGAAGTAGTGTAAAGTTAATTATAAATTAGTGTTTGGCTTTATTGTAACTAAATATTTTAACATAAGGGCGATTTTTATGTGGAAAAACCTACCTTATAAATCGACTTGCGAATTTAAGCATTTAGTTACACACACTGAATTCTATCAAGCCAAAGAAAATCACCTACCTCCCAGAAATCTATCAAATAAAGCATTCACCAAATGAGGTGTAAAATTAAACCAGAATTCTTTCGAAGGCATTACAGCATGGTAGATTAATGATCAAAAAGTCTAAAGTTACCCAGAAATAGATAACAATTAAACTGATTGATGGATTTAATAGTAATGATTTATTTTCTACGAAATATGAAACCAATTATTTATAGGTTGTCCATAACAATTCATCTCATGTCTGGGTCCCCAACTTTACTAGATTGATGATGTGGTGAACTTTGAACGCCTGACATTCTTCTAAATAGTTACATCGATCTTGCTAATACTACGTTCCAAGTTTCTCAATTCCTTATTCTCTAAGAAGCTCTACAAGGGGATTAGTTTTTGAAATGTTCATATGTCTTTGGGTTAAATACCTTTTAATGGAGCACCCTGCGCGAATGATTAGCTACTAGTGAATAGTAAGTATATTACATTTAATATCTTTAAAATTAAAACTATTATATCAATTAAAAAAAATTATACTAATATATCTTCATTCCTTTTACAAACACAACTATAACATATTCTGAATAATGCATGTAAAGCATAATAAAGTTTTCAGAATAATTTTGCTTGTAATATCAGTATTATATTATTATTATTGATAATTAATTGTTTCCATTTGTTTACAAAAAAGTTTTTGAAAGAATCGTAAGAAAAATACTAAAATAAATAGACTACATTTCTTTTAACGGTCGAAAGATTTAATGTCAAGTAATACAAGTCCACAATTTTTTTTTTCGTTACTGTGTGATATTCTGAACCATGAATTTTTTTACAGTGTTATTTCTGATACTTACTTATAATTTTTCTGTAAAATGCAGTTTTGGTGGATCTTTAAAAAAATGCCAGCTGTACTTAAGTTAATTGGATAATATTAAAAAATGAGTGTCATGTTTAAAAAAAAAATAAACAAACATTTTTTAGTAAACTTCTCTGGTAGTATTGCACATCTAAGTGAAATTTTTATAATATAGTTGAAACGCGTCGACAATGTATTGCAATTTTCAGTGTCGTTGGATATTTTGTTTGAATTAGTATCCAGACATCGAGTGAGTGTACGGAAGATGTTTATTCTTGTCGAATGCAAGTACAAAAGGAATATATAATAACTTGTTCTAGTGATGTATACGTAAAGTAATAATAGCAAGATGTGTTGGTATTTTGTTCTTTTCATCTAAAATTGGTAGTGTTGCATATTTAAAGCTAAAATTGTGAAATAATCTTTTTGTTAAAGAACAGCGCCTCGAGGGGTCTGCGTCAGTTTTGACTTGACGTTGTACTAAAACCATCTAGAAATTGCTCTTTATCAACAGAAATATAATATTAAATTAGGGATGACATTTTTGCTTTCTACTTAGTTAACAACTGACATTTCGCTAACCGAAAATGTAATGGTGTTACTTGTGTGCGAGTGTTTTTGTTGAAACGTTCTAAAACGAAACAAATTGTTTTATTTTATTTAAGTTAGTTTTCCCGACAACAAAGCGAAGCAGCAATTTCGAGCTTAGTCTTGGCACAAGCGGACAAAAAGCTAAAAGGTTCACCTGAATTCTGCGGAGCTTCCCCAAGACGACGCAAAGCCCACTTGTTGTATTTTAATCTTCTTGTCCATCCTCCACTTGAGTAAAGTATTGTTGTGGGGAATCGACCCGTTTCCGAAGGCTATAGTGTTCTTCTCCCACGTGATCCAGAATGTGCACCATTCATCCTCGGATAAGATTCCTGGCGTTTCCACTCTTGTTAATTGAACTCCGTAGCCTAAAGTGGGGCATTGTTATTTAATAATCTGTACAGGATGGACATAATCCGAAATCAATTTTCTTAGAAGATCGGGATATAAATCTCACCATGTTTTCCGCGGCCTATCCATGTAATCATGTTGTTCACATCGCCAATGGTTAAGCGATACATCTTATCAGAAGGGGAACGGCTTTCAGCGAGAGCGATGTGAATTGGACCGATTCGCTTAGATACTCCTGCTTTCAGCTCCAAAACTATACCCTCGTGATTGCGTGGGGCCGCTACCCATTCATATTTATATTTGTCGGCTGTGGAAATTACCAAGTTTTCTGCAAATGAATGAAAATTGCAATGCAAGGTTCCCGAAGGGTTAAAGAACTTTATTAAATGAAAAGTCTCAAATGCAGATAAATTACCAACTCAACTATGGAAACGAGGCAGTACTGTGTGGAAGCATAATGTGTTTCAGGTTTTGAAAAGAAGATCACTTGGAAGTATAGTCTTCCAGAAGTTATACGTTAAAAATCTATTTAATATGTTAAAACAAATAATAGTTAAAAACGATTTTTGATAGAATACCCTTTCTTCTGCCAAAAATGATAAAAAACTCTATTTTGGTTGAAGACTATTTGCTAAATTGACCTCATTAGAACCACGCTCGGAAAGTAAAAAGGAACAAAATTTGTTGCCATTATCTTAGAATGGTCATTAATATCTACATTTTTATGAGAGAGTTCGTAAGGTAGCTCTCTGTAAAAGGTCAGAATGTTTCAATTAAGAAAATTAACTTCTTGTTAAGGCTTACTAATGATAAAAATGAATTCATCAATTGTGTAAAAAGAGTACAGTTTGTTTTTGGTTTCTTACTTCAACACCTACAAGAAGAGGAAGACGAGTCGTGAAAGTAACTGAGAAAGGTGAAAATGTAAAGACTAACCCTTGTAACCATTAAGTAAGTATATAAAATAAGTATTAATAAACACTGCATGTTGAAGGGACAAAAGTTGTAACAAGGTTAAAGAATTTAGCGCAACAAAGTTGCAAATATTGAAGAAAAGAGAGCGCAAATTAAAAAAATGGTCGAAGGTTATTTCGACAGAACTTCCCTCGCCTTTAAAGTACAGTCGAACAAAAATGAATCATAAAATTTAATTCTGAAAATTATACTTATTTTTTCATGATAAACCCTATAAATTAAAATAAAGATATGTGTGGACTGTAAAATACAGGTAAATGAGTCTTTTATGCGTATCTTTCAAGTGAGTTCTTCCCTAACAAAATTTTGTGATTATGTCATCAACATTTTATCAAGGACACGTATATCAAGTTGAATGTATACTCACATTTTTGGGAAAATAGGGTGAGCCGCTCTTAATTTGATAAAAAAATCAATTTCCTAAATTTATTAATTGTTTTGCGTCACCTTGTATAACTAATATTAAAAACTATCAATCCATTGATATACCCCAAGTTTTATAATATTTTGTGTATTTTAGATAGCATTTATTCATCAAAATTTGGAGATGATGTCATTAATTTTTTTTGAAGGGGTAAACGGATAAATTTTGATTACGGATTCATCACGCTTACAACAACCGTAACATGTTTGCAAGATTTCAGAGCATTCGGTTTTTCAATGTCAAAGTTAAATCCTAAAAAGTTGTTATTTAATTTTGATTAATTTTTCTAAAATCTGGATGTCTATTCATAAACTAGAAGTGCAGGGCTATCTTGAAAGCAAATACGACATCCAATTACGCAATACGTCACTTTAACCTTGTAGCAACACCGCTGATACTCGTAGAAAAGGTTGCAACACAATTTAAATTTTTTGCGAAAATTTGGATGCCTGGCGGAAAATCCGAAAACAAATTCATTAACAAGTACAGGAGTATTTTATTTTATAAAATTTAAATCTTACTTACTACAAAAAAATTTAAGAAGATATCTTTACACTGGTGGTATGGTATTATCAGACAAATTTCAGTTAGCATGATGTTTCTAACATACATATAAAATTTGACAATAATCTGTGCGGTGATAGACAAACAGACAGACAGACGGAAACGGGCACCTTTTTTTCGTACACTTGTCATGACACATCGAGAAAATATGAAAGTAGCCAGGCTCGATTACAATACTTCCTTAACTTATGCTTGAGTAGCAAAAAGAAGCGATTCTTGAATAGAACTCTCACATGTTGAACGAATGTAAAGGAATGAGAGAATCGAGTGAAAGCATGAAGGCGTTGAATAAAAATTGGCGGTTTAAAGCGGATGATAAAGCAAAGGAACTGTTAGGTAAAGGGACGGATATGAAATGTGTAAACCCTTAGTTGTGTTGTGCGTATTAAATACACATATCACAACTCCTTTAGATTTTATTTAAACTTGAAAAGCAAAAGAAAATTTGTTCTCATATATCGTGAAACACATCACAACACATTTTTTTAATGTTTTTACAAGTTCATGAAGCCTTTTATTTATTGAAAGATATTTTTTCTTGAGTAGCGATGTACGTAAATTTTAAACCATTCTATATGGTGATTTTTCATGGTTTAAGGTAAGTATCCCGCAATTAGTCTACATACTGATTATAACTATTAGTGAAGATAAAATGATACAACAAAGTTTAAACAATTAATTCTAAAACTAATATAAAGTAAGTAAATTAGCATTTAATACAACAATATTGAAATTGGTCTACAAAATAATATTTTCGACAAAACCTTTGACTTTCACGCGGGGTCAAATGTTTAAGCAATTTTTTTTTAATGTAACTAGATTTTATCCATCGTGTCGCAGTTACGTAAAGTAAGTATTCTTCATTAACATAATAACATAAGAGACTTACCGTTCGCGCAAAAGTAAGCACTCTCCGTGTCTGTTCGCACAATTCCTTCGGGATAAACTTTAATTGTCGCTGAACGAAGAACAGCTCCTGCCAGAGATGTGTTCCCTGGTTTCTCTACACCTTCACAGGAAGGACTGGTGTAACCGTTAACTTCAACTGAAAGAAAACAGCGTTTACTTTAATTTTACAATTAAAGTAAAAAGAAACCGTAAGTTATTTTACTTAAAGTTATTGTCTATTTATTTTATATCTCTTGTGTGGGTGCTAAATTTTGTAATTGTTGATGAAGCGGTTTTTGCATAGGAACGTTTTGACAGGAATGCTAATTGTTGTTATTATTATAAGATTTATAGTTCGTTCTCAATTATAGAAATGTGTTTACATCAAAATGTTTCCGCATATATGTAGGCACTTTGAATTAGGACAAATACCTATTAGTAAACAGGTACATATTGAACTTTAGATTTGTTCGTGTCTTTAGAAATTATCCATTGCAAATCCAATTATGAACAACTGACTGACACTGAATCATTTAAAAGTCGTTTCCTTGTTTAGCTGGACTTTTTACTTCTTGGTATGGTTGATACAGGACTACATGTAACTACATGAAATAATGATCTGAAATCAAAATCTCCGTTAAATTATTTAGCGGCAAAATGTGACCTTTGCGTATATTGATTTAGCAAGGGGTTTATATTTGATGTTAACTTGAAAAATGTTAGGCTGACCTTTGTTAATGGCTCGGTATTCCCACGGAAAATTGAAAATAAATATTTTCCAGATACCGATAAACGGCAATTAGCCCAAAATAAATTAGAAATGTGGATAATTTTATTTATCCCAAATTATTATTTCTATATCGAATTTCACCTGTTACACATTATTGTCAATGGTAACTGGTAACTCCAGACGTAAGAATTTTCTCAGAGTGGTTTTTCATTTCACACTTACTATTCTTTTATGGTTTAGGTACTCCTCGTTTTTGTATTCTGTCAATGTTAATCAGTTGTTTTGATTAAACGAAGCCGTGTCTCTTTTAAGGTGTGTGGATCACGTGGTGTACTTATAATTTTTCAAGACTCGTATTGATAGTGTTCTTCTGGATGATCCGCATAGATTTCTGCGGAACCAAAATGGGAATGTGATCTAGGGTAACATTTTCTGTAATATGTAAAGTTACATAGTTGCACGTATTTTTGGTTCATGGAAGAGCTTCCTGTCCAGGAGACGCTGTGATCAACTTTGAAGGTACAATAAAAACTTTCTTCTACGAGTAGAAGTGTCACTTCCCTCGAGAAGGTAAAAATTCCTTGCTGTGAGTAGAGGTGTTAATCTATTTATTAGAACGTTAATCATGGATTAACTCATGGTGAAAACCCACTTACAAGAAGACGCCCTCTACCTTCCCACTTAATTTGCTGTTAGCATAATTCGGTTCAATCTTATACCGATTTCTTGCTGAGATCATGTGTTTTGACAGTCATCAACTAGTTTCATCACCGCCGCTTGTTTTACTATCATAAGTGCTTTTCCGCAATTAGCTCATTGCAGCTTCCTCCATCACCAACTAATTTAAGCTCCTAATTGGATTACTGCAGCAGTCACCACTCGTAACTAGTTTCAGTTCGGAAATAATCAGGCTCCTTCCATGGTCTTCTTCTCTTACAACAAACTTACTTTCCTTAGTGTTGGCATACTAGATGTTGCTATCAGAGTCTAACAGGACTAGATTTTGTTTTGGACAGAAATTGAAAGTTATTTTTTCTGACAAAATTTTCCATTTTCTGTTTACAACACAAGAAACTTGGCCTATTTGATCGAAATTAGGTTCAACAAACTTTAGTACCAGATTCAGTGAGTTTTTACTTCCGTTAAGTGACTCGATTGGGATTTGTATTTAAGGTGGCTTAATCTTCTATGTGAAAATCGAATATCTCGCAAGCACTTTTTGGGTTTACAGGTTTTTAACATACCTAAGTTGTTTCGGTGACGCGCCGGACGCTCTTAGACTACTACATCACATTTTATTCGGCTAGACAGACAACCATCACAAATACAGAGAATACCCCTGTATAGACAAAAAAGATCTTGAAATTTCCGGAAAGAATTTCAAACTACACAGAAGCTTCGACTGTGGCGAAAAGAGATTTTTTATTGAGATATACCTATGGATATGGTTTAACGTTTAAGGGTTAGAAAGGTGTGAGGCTGGTCCCAATCTATGTTATTTGGGCTGGTGGAATAGAGCAAACCACGCAAAAAACTGGTGCCCGAGATCCCTGAAATTTCAAAAACGTTGTCGGTCCGAACATCAAAAATGACTGAATAGCACAATATAGGGCGGTTCACATCACCATATAATCGTTGGCATTTACAATTATGTCATCTATATTTTTCAAGCATCATTTCTTTGCTTATCATAATGATTGCAGCATATAAATGTACGAGACTACGATATTTATTAACACGTTGACTCCCACACATATTCTCGGAGATATAAATAACTTGTGTTCCAACTGATGCCAATATTTTTTCATTGCGGTTAGCGTCAAATCTACATTTTCTAGCAATTTCTGTCGTTATAAATATGATCCAAAGGCTCATTTTTGCTTGAATTTTTTTTGTATAGAAAAATTGTACATATCGTTGGCGACATGTAAGGCATACAATTAATGCAACATTATTTCTGTGAGGCACAAATCGCCTAGGATATGTATTGATGACATTGATATGCGAGTTTTAACATGTTTTTATTACGGCTTGATTTCGTTCTAAATCAGTAACTTGTTATTGTAACTTCAGAACGTGCAAAGCTAGAAGAAGATCTAGTTCACGAAGAAGCAGCAGATATTGTTTTTTTTTTAGAACCAATTTAGAATTAAAATGTATTTAAACCAGTTCAATAAGCAATACATGAGAATAAAAGTATCTTACTAAAGTTGTATCTCAAAAGCGTGTTTTTTTTTATTCGAATAGCAAGTGTGACGTTTCTAACATTTACAACATCAAACTTACCTGTCATATTTTTTAAACCTGGCGTCGTTACCAAAAGCCGTACTACCAAAGACGTCGCACCATGTGGTCCTAATCTAAGTCTTTCGGTAACGTAAAGTAATCCGTTACTTAAAAACTGTGCACCTTCGCTTAAAGCCAAGAGAGCGGTTACCTGTGAAAGTTTGGTTATGAAATAGAAAAAGTCTAAAACTATCAGTTATAATTAGAAAATGTAAACTGAAAAAAAGAACATGAAACAAATTTATTAAATTATGTGATAACAAAAAAGTTGTGAGCTAAATAGCGTCACACGGCGGAACAAACGGAAAAGGAAGTAAGAATGAAATCCTCAATAAGTAACACGATCTTAGAGATTTCCAAGGTCTAATAGACAAAAGGAACGTATCCATTACACGTAAAATGAAAGTTCTCTATGTATTTGGAAGCTTTTCATAGCTTGAAAAAGTTCTGTTCAATACATCTCTTCACAGGATGCTTTAATTAATAAAATCGAAAACCATTCGCTTACACAGAAATTCGATTACATCTTTTCATTTGTAGTTATGTCTGGGAAATTAAATATCTTACCGAGGACGTTAAAACTTGTGTTAAATTTAGCAGCATGCATGAAATTATCAACTTATAATAAAATTAGTGAAACTGTTATAACTAGTTTTGAGTTAAGTAATAACTGAATGAATAATATCCACTTTCAGAGCATTAGGTAAATTAATATTATTAAGGCCATAACAATCGATTCCTATTAAGTTGTCAAAGCTTAACTACTAATAGATTGTAAGAAATGTTCGAAACCACTTACGTCCATACAGGAGTTTATGTTATTTCCAATCTTAATGTCGACTTCCAAAGTTTCCCGAACTCTCAAACTAGGAGGTAAATGGAATTCCGCCTGTAGAGGTCTGAAAACTTGGACGTTCACGGACGAAGAAAATCGTAGCCCATTGCTAGACACAGTTAAGGCCCACAGAGACCATTTACCAGCTTCTTGAGGCGCCGAAATAGTCAGTCCAGTGGACGCAATTTCTGACCTGGAAACGGAGAAATAACTCACTGAAACTTATTGCGGTTGTTCTCGTGCAATATTTATCAAGCTGTTTTCGGGATAGAAAAAACTGGATTTGTTACGCGAAAATCGGATCAAACTACTTAAAGTAATTGGTAGGCATTCTAATAATTAATGTTTGCACAAATTTAAATATTGTGCTAAATTGATTTTTTTCTAATTTCCAACGTTAGATGCACCATTTCGCAAATATTTAATTAGTACATGTTAAACAAGTTGTAAAAATGCGCCTGAAAATGATTTATGAAAAATATTTCAGTCAGAGTTTTGAACGTATTGTTTCTTTAAATTATAAGTAATAAGAATGTTTTTGGTTATTTCATTGTTATATTTTTCTTTACCATAAACTTTTTCAATCACGTACGGCATTTGTGCATTTTCTTCTTTCTAAATGTTGCGTGATTTATAAAAAGGAATTAGAGTTGAATGTGCCTTTAAAAATTCATTTGTAATTCCACTATTTAAAAGTTTAAATCGACATGTTTGACGTTATTTAATAAATTTTAATAATTTTACATAAAAACATAACAGCGTGTTTGTAAATTTACAGAAGAGAATATAATCTAAGGTCTTGTTGCACAGGTAACTACATCTCTTTTGGGTCGATAAACATGGTGATTTGAGAACGAACCCATTTAAAGAAATTTTTAATAAACTTAAAACATCTTCTTATCTCGGTTTTTGTTTTTCATAACAAAATCAAATCATATTACAATGCTGATCAAATCAAGGTGAGTTACAAATAACACCCGGTTATATTGAGGAGCTCAGAAAGATATGTTCGACATTTAATTGACTGATGTTTACGTATATACATTTTTGGAGTAAATAAATCTATCAATTGCCTCATATATTTTTTTATTTTTGTTCAGAAATATGATCTTGATGCCAACTAAATAATAAATTTTTATTCTTATGAAATATAATATAAAAGGAAAATATCTGTGTATATTTATAATTTTCATATTTTTATCTTCTTGTATAAGCATCCGACAAGGGGAAAACGATACTCTGTGAGAAAATAAAGATGGTGAAGAGGTAGCGTCATTATTCCGTCCAAATTAATTTTAGGTTGTTTCTACCATAATTTCTTTAAGAACAGCAGAAAATGGCGCTTCGGGCTCAAGGTCGTTGGTAGCTCTAAATTAGAATGCAAAAAATAACAACTGCAATGCGTGGTCCCAAAAAGAAAACTATAAAACTGCCGAGAAAGGTCGCATAAAAAATAGATTGAGACTATAAGTGTGCGGTCATAAATTCCCTCTTAATCAGAAATTCGTGGCATGTCCTCAACAAAACAGATATATCATAGGAGATACAGAAAGCTACAGTTAATAAACGCGTCCCTACATAAATCCAAAGACACATGTCGCCAAATTAAACAGCGCTGCCCCCAAGAAGGACGCTAAATCCAAAGGAGCGTCTACAAGAGAATTACAGATGTGTACCATAGACGGATGTGGTCCCATAAATTTAAACGCGCTCCATTTAATGCTTTAATCGGGCACATTGGGTTACAAACATGCGATGGGTTGCTTTAACTGCATTACGTTCGAATAAATTCTGTCTAAACAGAATATCGTGACCAAAATGTGCCTTAAACAGAACATCGTACAAGAAATACTCAGGCACCTTTATGTAGTTCGCGAGTGACTAGGACTTATGAGATCAAATTTACAGCTTTCAATTCAAAAAAGTGATCACTAAAATACCACAAACGGCGGGATGTGACTTATCCAATGATCTTTTCATCTTCTAACGGGAATCTTTTTCCGACAGAAATTTCGAACGAAATTACTGAATTTTCCCGTTTTTTACTCATGCAAGTGTAATAATTTTTACGCCTTGACTTAGAATCGCTGACTGCCGGATTTGTGAAAAATGAAAACCACTTTCGCCTGTGAGAATAATGATGCAATTCGTTATAAGATTAAATTTTTGCTAACGTAATGCCGACATTTTAAATTGAAACTGCCAAGACCAAGAACAAACTAAAATAAGATAAGAAGTCACGATATTACAAATCACAGGAGTGAGCTTTCGCTTTCCTTCACCTTTTCCGGGTTGCGTAAAAAGTAAATGAGAATAGAATTAATCTTTTGTCATCCCACTAAATTATCTTTCCGGCGCCCACACAAAGAAGTTTATCCTCGGATGGCGCATCTTTATTCTCCATAAGTGTGGCGTTATCAGAAGTAATGTATACCTTACTACAAAGTAAAAGAACAATTAAAGTTATACATTTTTTGCAGATTTTGTTAAGAAGTTGAAAATAAAAACTGACATAAGTAAGTCGTCTGATATCGAACTTTTTGCCAAAAAAGTTCTAATGAATCTATTGTATCTTGCAATAGTACATTACCTCGAACCGTTAACTGTTTTTGTTTAAGTTATTAAAATGAAGGTAAAACTTTGGACGATCAGAAAGAAAACGTTGGTTAAGATTTAATAACAAAGTGTAGTGAATAATGAAGTATAAATCTGGAGCAGTGAATGTTGTGTTTGAGATAGAAAATGGCATGTTATTGTGGATAAAAACTTAAAGTATGGAAAGATGTTTAGTTTCAACAAATATATCGTAGCAGCACTCAATATTATTAATTGATTATTGATTAACATAACATTCTAACTACAATGACGCTAATGGTATTGGTATGTTTTTTTGATTTTAGCAATAACATAAATATGACAATTTCCGACGTCTGCCATTCTTGCAAAAGTAATTTCATTTGTTTTCAAAGGAGTACACTCCAAGCAGCAACTTGTAACAGTTACAATTTGCGGTTAGGAAGAGTGCCTGATATCAATTAAAATATTTCTAATTCAAATGTGTGACGTAGCTGTCACGTAATAAATATATTTTATTTCGAAAGGCCTTGTGCAGAATTTTAGCACAAAATAAGAGCACAACTGCGGTATAAATAGGTTGCAACTATTTCTTGCCTTGTGCACTAAGTGCTATAAAGTGTTGTGCAGTCTGAATAAGCTTTTATTTCCTTTTTAGATTTTTATTTTCCGAGCGTACGTTAAGGAAGTACTCTAATAAGGTCGTTTTACGGAATGTTTAATTTCATTGTGCTAGACGTTTCGCATTGTTGAAATACGAAAATATCAGTCTCCTGTTTTTGCCTGTCTATCGTCTGTCGCTTGAAGATTTTATCAGACAAAAAGTCTCTGATTATTGGCGAAATTTTAAGTGGAGAATATTCTCTCTGTGGTTAAGTGCTAATACACATTTTGACGGTTCAATTTCACCAGCAATTTGATATCCTCATTTAAAAATTTCCTTAAATAGAGCTCACTTAAATTTTTTGTTGTAATATAAGTATTCCTTCGTCTATGGTAAAATAATGTATCCGTTTTTTTTATTAGAACGCAACAAGTAAGTTACAGTGTTACAAAATAAAATTTGTAAAATGAAACATTACAGTATTTTCGAATCGACACATTACACAAGCAAAAAAGGGATATATCTAATTTTCTTCTAGTTTTGAAATTACTACTATTATTTATTAGGGTTTTAATGTATATGTCACTATATCTTTATATCTATAAAGCTTTATTTTTTTAGTTGTAGTTTAATTATCCATCCTAATTATTTACTTTCCGAGCGTAAGCTAGAGGAATATTTTAAGAGAATAATCCAGCGAACGGCCACGTGTTTTCTAAAGGTTTCATCACCTCTAAAGTATGAAAAAGCTCGTTTGCGTTTGTCTATCGTCGCCTATCTGTCGGCTGTTTGTCTCCCTATCGTCTGTGGAAATTGTAATAGATAGTAAAAATCTGAAAGTACTGTACAGAATGTTGTGTACTAGAAAAATTATCACCCGCAGCTCCGCTTGCGTGGATTTTGCAATTACGACACATTATTTTTCACCCTCTGATAGGGTTAATATGGTCACTCCCCCTCGTGAAAACCCGTTTAACTTAAAAACTAACGAGACTCTCGTACAAATTTTCATCCTCTATTTTACTCCCTTAGGGGTGGAATTTCTAAAACTTCTTTCTTAGTGGGTGCTTACATTACAAAAGGTACCTACTGTCCAAATTTCATGGTTCTAACTTCAGTAGTTTAGCTCTGCGTTGATGAATTGGACAGTCTGTTAGTCAGGACCACGACGGTGTATCAGGACAAAGACTTTTATATGTATAGATAACTACGTAAAATTTATCTGATCATTCCCACCAACAATTTGAAGACGTTATGTCAAAATTGTGTGGCGTATAGACCTGTATTGACTTCATACCCTAGACATTCAGATTTTTGGAAAAAAGAAACCAAAATTATATAACAAGACAATTTATCTTACAAAATGAAAACTAAATAAATATTTTTAAATCTAATTTTCTAAACGTTTTAAGATTATTAACCACAATTTGCAATAACTGTAAAAATGTCTCTTTACCAGTCTTTCCTGACTAGTAGCGTTTTTAATTAAATTATTAATTTTTATAATCTGACATATCTGCAAGTATTAATTTTTGAATGAATGACATAAATATTAATTTTTGCCAAAGATTATCCCATTAACATTAATCACATACATATTTCACCCAAATATACATCCTATCAATAAATCACGCCCAAATCTACTTAGTTTACATACAAACTGGTAATTAAATTAGTTACAAAATGTTGTTAAGCACTGCTTAATTCGGTTATTGTTCAGAACCTGCTGTTAAAACCATGGATTCACGAGTTCGAAAATCCCACTTACATTTTTCCTCAGTTATTCGGTTTAAATCGTCGTAAAACTTTGTCGAGCAAACTCTAAATTAGATTTATTTTCTGCTTAGCGCCCGTTAATAAATAATTACGAGCAAATTTACTTACGAATAATTAAAGCACTTCCAAAGCCAAAGTTGATCGAATGGGGCGCCTCCCACCAGACTTTCAGGAGGTCTTCTCCGGTTGGACGGCCCTGCACCCGAGCCTCTTTGTCTGTAGGACACCGCCGATATTCCAGAATTGCCTCTTTTTACGCATTGTCGTTGAAAGAACGAAACTCCCGCCTCCAGGAAGTCAATTTCTCCGGCTACCGATGCTGGCTCTCTTTCTTCGCTGAAAGAAATCGAACAGAATGGAAGAATAAAATCGAATTTATCTACTGTTCCGGATGTAATGCGTCATCATTTATACATCGGCGGTCGGTGTAATAATTCCGGTTAGTAAATCATTAATCTTACCTAATTCGAGGATCGAATTTAATGTCTCCGTTTCCTCCTGAACGACCGCCTAATAGGCAAACGAGAGACGAACGTTCAGCCACCACTTCTAAATCCAAAGACTGACCCGGTAACCACCACTCTCGCTCTTCTAAGTTTACGTAAATCTGTGAAACCACGATTAATGAAACATCTAGTTTACTTTAATCAATCAAAGGCTTGTTAAAGTTGATGAATTATTGCGAATTGCTCCGTTTCTAATTATAGTAAGTAATTGTATTGAGAGACGATAGCAAACAGAATTCATAGTTTTCAATATTTTTACATCTTGTAACTCAGTACTTTTTCTTATTTGTAGCTATCTTTGTTTTTATCTTCCAATTTATTAAAATCCCGAATTTCTCATATATTTTGCTAAATGTGCGAAATATATGCAGTTTGGATTTTGAATTTCTACAAAGCTTTTTTTGTAGAATCGTCTGGTCGCTGTTATTTTTTAGAGATTCTTGACATATGGGAATAATGTTCAATTTCTCTGATGGAAAAGATAATATATAATAATATAATATTTACTTTACTAACAGCGTTATTAACATTGCTATCTTTTGCAAAGTGCTGAAACTGAAATTTGTCACTTCTATCGTGGGCATTTCATTTCGAATAAACAAACATTTAACATTTAACGTTATAAATAATTCAAGCAACAGTTTGTTTAAGGGGTATTTTTGGTTATAGTATTTACAAGACGACTTTTACATTTGTGCTCTTAGTATTATTAATTTTGTTCATTTCGATGTTCGTTCGTTATAAATATAAATTTATACAGGGTTATGATAAAGTAATGCACAAAATTCATAAAAAACGCAGCATTTGTTTTTGAAAAAAATGCAAAAACATGTCAACCCTTTCATTTTACTCTCCATCTTTTGACATATGTCAAAAAATTTTACGTCAATTATGTAAAAGTTACGACGTCATCAACAGACGCTATAATTTTAATCGGATTATTTGATAAAGCTTATTTTTCTACATGTGAAAATGTAGCTTGATGTAGGGGTTGCATAACAAAAAAATTGGAGACAATTAATAACAAACGAAATAAAAATGAAATGAACATGAAACAAAATGAAATCCAAATAACTTAAAATTAAAACAAAAATCTGTCAAAGATAATCGCTTTTGTCAGTTTCTTAAGTTGGTTTAATAAAATAAAGAATATTTTTTGGCTGTATGTAATAAGGTAGTTTCTGACTTGTAAACAAATATGTTTTTTTGTTTGTCCATACTTCTGTCCAAGTCGCATAATAATGGCTTGTTTAGCCGAAAAAGAACGTAATGATAGTACATAGGTTATGACGATAGGCTTCGGAGCCACGAAGAAGTATGTGCTTTGTTCAACGAAGTACATTTTGGACAACCTCCTATCGCTGGAAGCAGTTAGTAGAGTTGTTGCAAAATTTCATCACACAGGAAACGTGAGAGATGTTCCAAGATGTGAAAGACCACAAATAAACGATAACACCAAGTTGAATATCTTGTTACCATTAGAAGACAACCCCCATATAACAACAGCGGAAGTGACTTTACAAGAAAATGTTAGTCAGTCGTTTGTGGTAAAGTTTGTAAAAAAAGAGAAACTGCATGCATATAAAGTTCAACTCATCCATGAACTATCAGAAGATGATCCTGACAGACAATTCGAATTTTGTGACAGTTTCATGAGACATTGTGACGGCAATCGCAATTTTTTAAATACTGTCGTATTTTCGGATGAAGCAACTTTTTCGATACAATTGTCGTTGTTACTGGGTTTGAGAACAACCTTATTGGTTTCAAACGGCACACACCCAACGTCCCCAAAAAATAATGTTTGGGTTGGAATAATAAACAGAAGAATCATTGGCCCCTACTTTTTTCACGGAAATTTAACAGTAGATCGATATTTACATCATCTTAGAACGGCAGTGCTTCCGGATCTAACTACTACGTTTCTTGATTCAGATAATAATCTACAAAATTTAGATCGCAAGATTTGGTTTCAACAAAATGGGGCACCACCCCATTATGGCGTAAATGTAAGGATTTTTTGGATAATCAATTTGATGGAAGGTAGATTGGAATGGCCACCTAGGTCTCCGGATCTGACATCCTTTGATTTTTTTATGGGGGCAAAAAAGTAAAGAGTCGTGTTTACATGAACATACCCGATAATTAAGACGACTTGAAAGCACGAATTCGTCATGAAATGACTCGTTTAAATCCCCAGAGTATTGAAAATTCCGTCAATCAAGTCTATGGGTTTGTGTCAGACAGTGAATGGGGATAATCTATATTATCCCCATTCAAACTATTATCCTATCTATATAGGATAATAGTTTGAACAGTTCCTGTACTATGAATTTTTACTCCAACGTATTGTTCACAGTTTATTTAATATTTATCAATAAAATCAAGTTTATTTTGTTTGTTATTAATTTTTTCTTTTTTTCTTTGTTATGCAACCCCTACATCAAACTACATTTTCAAATGTAGAAAAATAAACTTTATCAAATGATGCAATCAAAACTATATCTTTCTATTTAAAAAAATCACTGATGACGTCATAACTGTTACAAATTTGACGCAACATTTTTTGATATATGGCAAAAGATGGAGAGTAAAATAAAAAGCTTGTCATGTTTTTGCACTTTATTCAAAAACAAATGTTGCGTTTTTTATGAATTTTGTGCATTACTTTATCATAACCTGTATATGATTTATAGCTATTAATATAACGAGAATATTATGCGATTTATAATAGTCGAGGACGTTGTCAGGTGACGAGGCGCAGCCGAGTCACCTAGACAACGTCCAAGACGGTTTAAGGGGTCTATTTTGTAATTTATCGCTCCAGAACGATCTCGTTCCCAAACGATAATCGTTAGAAGCAATCGTAAAATCAGTTTAGCGAGATTGTACAAATTTCCAATTTTATAAACACTATCGTAATCGTAAAGCTTTGAAATCGTTAGCGGAACGATGAATCTAATGTTTTTAGAATCGGTAGTATTTAAATTTGTGTAGCGTCTAGATTACGTTGTTCTCTGTTGTGACATGTGACATTTGTTTTGCTACTGATTGAAGTTTGGACAAATTTGTGAACTTTATAACATGTAAGTAAACAATAATTATAAAAGAAAAACATCAAAATAATCACACTAACACGAAATTCAGTTTACAATACGTTCACGGGAGCAGTGGAAAAACGTAAAAGGGCCCAGCGTATTACCCAAGAGTAACATGAGTTGTATGTGGAGGAGTTAGAAGGTAATGTAGATTTTAGGGCCCAAAAGTTCGTAGCGGACAAGCCAGATCTTTTAGAAAAGATATGGGAAGGGTTGGTAGCAAAACTAAATTCTGTGGGAGGACCACAAAAAAGTGTTCAGCAGTTCAGAGAGGTATGTGTAATTAATGAACTCACTCTTTTAAAAAATGTGTACTTTACTATAATTTATCGTACAACTATTAGCAATTGTTCTGCTTACATCAACACTTTGGTTATGACAAAGTCAAGATACATAGAAAGAATGGTACACCGACTTTTGACATTTGTAATGAAAACAGTTTACTCAATTTTAGGGTCCAGATGAAATCTCACCTAGATGGCGCCAGCGTAACGGGGGACTGTCAGTGTTGACATTTGTCAAGTATGGGTGCTGTCATCGCTGTCATGCTGTGTTGGTCGTTAAAAAATAACGTGTTGATTATGTTATTTTTGTGATTTTTTAAAGTTATATCTGGTTTCGTCGTGATTGTTGCGTAAGATTTTGAATGAAAATTACCCGAACAGTGAATGTTTGACGAAGAATAACGCAAAAGTTGTGCGATTAGTGGGGTTGTTTTTATCTTACGCCAGTCTGTTTCCAAGAAACGCTGAAAATTGTTTACTTTGGTACTGAAGTTATTTTTAATCTAAGAAATAAAACAACGGTGTTCTGGGATAACTGAAATCGTTCCTCATGCATATTTTAACGTTAAATTCAATTTTAAAACATGAATTACCAAACAGATAACTAAATGTCGAAGAAAATCAAAGAGAAAACAAGAAATAAGAAAGTAAAACAAAACTAAATTAATAAATCTGGTTGAAAAAAGGTAGTCATAATAATTTCATACTAATTTCGCTAATTTGGCGTATTTCTTAGAAGTTCTATTATCAACGCTTCTTTTCCTGCTTTCTTTTTTGCATGCAAAACTCATTCTTAATATTAAAAATGAAAAAATAACTCTCTTAGTTAAACTAAATTTGTGTTGCATGCACCCTATAAAATGATTAATTTTTCGTTTTTCCAATTCATGAAGGACGTCTAGTAGTGCATTTCGTTTCACATCTGATTTCAGAGTTCCGCCAATCACAGCTTCTACTTGTTCTAGAAGTGTTAGCAGTTCTGAAGATGGAAATATTAAATGCCCTCTACTCTTTAAGGCGATGAACGTATTAAAATTTTCCACGCCGTTTCCGATGATGGTGTTTTTGCAGTCTTGACATGCTTCAGACTTATATTTTCGGGCAAGGAACCCACAGACGTAAGCGAACGCTTCTTCGTTGTCCTTGAAATTGATCTCTCTTCCAGCTGAGATGTCTTCATCTAGAATTCGATCCAACTGAAGGTCAATTTCTTGCTTTGTATTCGATAAACTCTCTGATGAAATGCAGTTTAGGATATTTTGCTTATCATTTACAAGAACTTCAAGCATATTGCCACCAGTAACATTACTACCTTTAGGTGGCTTTACCAATGAATATAAAGACATCAGTCTAAAGATCTGGGCGATTTGAACTGATTCAGCACAGTTATTTGAGCCACCACAATCACGTAGAAGTCCAAAAAAATGTTCTAATGGATCCTGGTTAATCCGTGACGTCATTAAATAAGTGAAATTTAAGGTTTCAGTGCAATATTTTAGTAAGTCGAGGGTTGTGTTTATTGTGGCCCTCAAACCATCTGCAGTATTTTTAGTCAAAAAATGTTCTTGGTCAGCACACGATTCCCACAAATCTAAGTATATTAAGAAGTCTTCTAACTCCTCATACTGTGGTGACTGTAATCGCAGCGCACTAAAACCATTACTCGAATTCAAGATGTCAGACAGCTTGTTGATGCGTCTACAAAACTCTATTGTAGCTTGACAATCGAGAAATCCAGGTATATTTTTACTGTTTAACATTGACAGAGCATCAGCAACGGTACCACTGAATAACTGAAAGGCATAGCGCGTAGTCATTTTTTCATGGTTTTGTGGATCAACATGTTTCAGTGTTAATTTGGGTGCCAATTTAAATTCAAATTGAGCGTCATATTCAATTAACCTTTGAAAATGAACCAGCTGAACATGACCTGTGGGCACGTGGAATTCTTTTTTGGCAACAAGTCTATTCCTTAAGCACTTTAGCAAATGTGGAAAGTCTGAACACATCCTCAATTTTCTAACATCATTGCAGGGATGGATAACCCATGGAGCCTGTGGATTACCTGCACCCAAATGCTTCCACATTGATCTATTCCATGTCGCTCCATCAGATGTCACCACATCAATAAAGAGTCCAGCTGCTTCACAAAGAACTATTGCTTCCAAAATTAGTTTTGCCTGAGTACTTCCACATACATTTCCTTTTGACAGGAAGCAACCGACTGCCTGCATATTTTTTCCGGCAAAGGATTGAAACATTATGACTAAAACATGGTCACCTAATTGGTCTCTTTGAGATATTGGAGTGTAATCACCCAAATCAACAAAACCTAATACTTCCAAGCGATTTTTGTCAAAATGTTTGCTGGGTGTTATCTTACATTCATCTACCATTAAAGTACCATGACGTTCATATTCAGGCATAGAGTGACACTTTACTTTTAGTAATTCAAATAACTTTGTTTGAAATCCGTAGCTGCTGTCAATGTTTTTTATGTATCTAGATATTGTGCTTGGTGCAGGTAGTGGAAGTAACTCTCTGTTCCGTAAATGGCGATATAGCTTTGGACTTTTTATTCTTATCAGAATACAAGAATATATCCAGTCTTTGGTGTATCTTTTCCCATTAGTTTTTTGTGTTGCTGTATTCAAACATGTTTGTACTACCAATCTTTGATTTTCAGGTAGTTTAGATAATACCTCGCCCATGTTGTTTATTTTTGCCATCCTTTTGTGCAAACTTTCTATTACATTTGTTTTATCATGTAGTTGTCTTTTCAAATGTACGTAGTTCTTTTTCATTTTTCTTTGCTTGTTCGCAAACTTTTGGCTATGGCCACTGAACGAAAAATTTTTTTTTAACAAATTTTTGCGAAACAGTGCGCAAGATAAACAGCGTCTAGTGTTGTTTCTTGTATTCTCCCCATTACAGTTTTGGCTAGTTTTGTTTCCTATTCCAGTACCGTGACACAAAGTTACTGCATCCACTTTTTTGACCAGATCAAGAACATCTTGAAAGTTCGTGAATGTGGTATCGATCATGCGGCAAATATTATTCAAATATATTTTTGAAATTTCTCCTTCAATAACGATGGCTTTGTCTATTCTTGGGACGTCAGTTGTTACGTGGCTTATAATAATTTTATCTGGCAGTTGATGAATACCCCATGTGAGAGGCAACAATTCACAAATTTCTGAATAATTGTTTCTCAACATACTGAGGGTATCCGAGGATAAAGTTTTGATTGGGGAGGAACGTGATATAGGGTTTCTCTGTGTGGATGTATCGTTTTCAGGATCTGCATTACTGAAAAAAAGATGCGCGTTTTTATTTATTCACATACGTATATGTATTTCAACGAACTCATTGTAAATTTTAAATATTGACGAATATTATGTAAAAATCATCAAGAATGGCAAAGATGTCTCCTTTAGTGTAGCGTAACTAAAGTAATTTTCCACTTTTTGGACATGACTCAACCAAATGGTAAGTCATGAAAAGTGAGGCTGTTTAGAAATACATACCTATATATCGATAGCATTTCAACTGGATGGGTTTTATTGCTCCTAGGATATTGTTTAATAGGATGGGTACTCTGGTAGGAAATGTCATTTTTGGTATTGGTATAACCGAAGTTTACAACTGGATCATCCGGTGTGGAATTTCTTCAAATAATATGAACGGCAGGCTATTAGGATAAATCAGGATATTTTATACATACATATTTCCTTGTAGTGGTGGAAATGGATAGGTTTGTTCCTTTTTGGGGCATTTAGGAAAAGGATGTGTGGAAACACAGGAATTTCCAGTGCTTGCACAACCTAAATTTATAGTCGGTATAGCATCAGGAGTTAATGTTCTTCGAACAACATGTTCATGATCATAGTGTATTCTTATATATTTGTTTTCAAAATGCTGCATACAAATATATGTCTTGGGAATAAATAAAAACCCGGCAGCTTCAGTCCAGACTTTTATTCTGTTTCCATCCTATAAATAATCATATTTTTGAAAAAAAATGGTCTAAATAGTGTTAGCTGTTATTGAATTGTTATTTACCGCAGGAACCCGAAATAACGAAATATCGCGACTGAGAAGTTTAATATGCCCACAAAGAACACATTTTTTCATTTTGAACGGCTAGAGAACGGCTCCCTTTTACAATTTGTGGTGTTTCTGCTGCAAACACGCTGCAAATTTCAAAAGCGTCTATTAATGTCAACTTTGACAGCGCATTTGACGGTCCCTCGTGTACTACTGCGCCATCTAGTGGAAAAATTTTAAACTAACATCTGGTTCCTACTTTTGGGTATCAATTAATGGCGGAGTCGGTATACCATTCTTTCTATGTATCTTGGACAAAGTGAACATCTTGTTTAGTCATGACCAATCAATTATGAGAACTGAGATGTTTAATCTTTATAAATACTGTTACACAATAAACCATAACCTCTGTGTTTTTTAGTACACCAAGAATATAACATGAACACTCTAATTACAATGTACTGCCTGGTAAGTAAACGTCACTGTGTGTTCCAGAGATTTGTAGATTGGAAATTCAATGTTTGAAAGAAGGCCAGAAATTTAAGACTATGTGAAAGAGGAACTGTTTAATAATTTCATTATGTTGTAAAAAAAATAATAAATACATTATTGAAAATGCTGTATTATTAAATTATTTCTTGCGATATGCCATTCATGTAGTAAATTGTGTTCTTCATATTCAAGTTCTTCATTATTATCGTTCTCCTTGTCATAGACAATATTGATCTCGTCATTTTCGATATTTCTTATGCGTAAGATGTTGTGTGAAGTAGCACATGAGTATATAATTTTTCCTGCAACTTCTGGTGAATAATACAGAACTCTGCGGCAGTTGGTAGGTCTTCCTAAAGGTTTCTTCTCGAACGATCAAGGGGTCGTTTACATCTCTTAAGACCCGAGACAAATTTCTCATTCTGTCTCTGCAGTAAAAAAAATATACCTATAATAAGTTATCAACCTAATCCAAACATACATTAATTACTTACATTTACCTTCTCTACCCATATTTGCACCAAAACGTTCCTCTTCATTGTGTGGCCGCCTGGAAGTAGGCAACCAGTTATACATACATAATGCAGCCACCGGATTGGCAGTTACAACGCGCAAGCCCATAGAGGAAACGCCACGGTGGAAACGTAAAACAGACCTTCTTCTTCTCCGACTACTTCCCGAGTGCAGACGTCCTCTTCTTCTCCGACCACTCACCGTGTGCAGACGTCCTCTCCTCTTCAAGACCTCCACGTGGACATACACATACAACCTTGGGCCTTGTTATCATTTTTGTAGTTGGTATTGTAAATAAACCTGTACTAAAACCGTTTCCGTTAGTAATTCGACGACAACAATTACAATTGGTGACCCCGACGTGATCGAAGAACTACGGGTACGAACATGCCGACTGCCAAAGAACTGCAACAGCAACTCGAAAAACAACAAGAAGCCATCCGGAAGCTAGAGCAAGAACCCACCAGACAAAGAGAGGTACGACACAATTAAGAAGAAACTGATAGCCGCCTACACCGACTCACAGGAGAAGCAGCTACGAAAGCTGATAAACGAGATGGAGCTAGGGGACCGACAACCATCCCAGTTATTCCGCGAAATGAAGGCACTCGCGGGGCAGCAGATGAATAGCGAAGTCGTAAAAACGCTCTGGCTACAGCGACTTCCACCACATGTCCAACTCGTGCTGTCTGCGAGCGAGGGAGTACCGCTGGAAAAGATGGCAGAAATCGCGGACAAATTGGCGGAAATACACAGAAGCAACGCTATGGCTTCCAGTATCAACGCGATAGGCGCCACCAGCGACACGACGCGGCAGAACACCATCGTACCAACGCAGGAAACTAACCTCATTACGGTAATTGCAGACCTCCAGAAACAAATGGCGGCCTTATCGGTAGCCGTAACTCATCTAAGCAACACGAGAGGGCGCAGTCCACAAGCACGGCAAAATGACCGTCGAAATCGGTCAAGGACACACAGCAGGCAACGCACGGATCAAAATGGCGTTTGTTATTACCACGCGAAGTTCGGTGTAAACGCCCGAAAGTGTTTCAAACCCTGCACGTTTGTACAGCCGGAAAACTAGAGGCGCCGTCGGGTATCGAGGCGGTACACGACGACGCGCGCCATCATCGTCTCTTCGTCACGGATCCCAAATCCGGTATCAGGTACCTAGTTGATACCGGAGCAGAGGTCTCAGTCCTGCCGAAAACGTTTTCAGGTAAGGCTCAGTCACAGACACAAGATACACCCGCCCTATTTGCAGCGAACAACACACCCATCCGCACGTTCGGCCAGAAATTCATGGTGGTTGACTTGAAGCTACGCAGAACTTTTAAATGGGTTTTCATCCTCGCGGACGTCGAGAAACCAATAATAGGGGCCGATTTTCTCGAGTACTACCACCTCCTACCGGACCTGAGAAACCGGAAGCTGGTAGACCCCTTGACACATCTCTCTTCCCCTGGTTTCGTATTGGCCTGCTCCGTACCACGTATTACGACGGTGGCAAAAACCTCCAGCTACCACAACCTGCTGGCGGAATACCCGGAATTGACGAAAGCACCACGTCCGGGAAGTCAAACATCCAGCTCCGTAGTGCATCACATATACACAACAGGCCCTCCTGTAGCTGAAACACCACGCAGACTACCACCGGAGAAACTCAAGGCTGCCAAAGCTGAGATCCAGTACATGTTGGAGCAAGGTTGGTGTCGCCCCTCCAGCAGTCCATGGGCCAGCCCACTGCACCTCGTACAGAAGAAGAATCCTGGGGAATGGCGTCCTTGTGGGGATTATCGGAGGCTGAACGGGGTAACAATCCCAGACAGATACCCCATACCACACATCCAGGACTTCTCGGCCAGACTAGAGGGAAAAACGGTGTTCTCCACGATAGATTTGGTACGTGCTTACCACCAAATTCGAGTGGCCGACGAGGACATCCCAAAAACTGCAGTGTGTACGCCATTCGGTTTATTTGAGTTCACAGTGATGACTTTTGGCCTACGCAATGCCGCACAAACTTTTCAAAGACACCTCAATAATGTGCTCAACGATTTAGACTTTTGTTTCGCATATATAGACGATATTTTAGTTTTTTCCGCGAACCCAGAGGAGCACGTGCGACATTTAAAAACGCTGTTTGAAAGACTGAAGCAACACCAAATCGTGGTTAATGCAGCAAAGTGCGTGTTCGGGGCAAGCGAAGTGGAGTACCTAGGACATAGCATTTCGACTCACGGGACCCGTCCAGCAACCGCGAAAGTGACGGCGATAAGTGATTTTCCTAAGCCGCAAACTGTGAAGGACTTACGAAAGTTTCTCGGCATGATCAACTTTTATCGTCGCTTCGTCAAAAATGCCGCATCTATCCAAGCACCTCTACATGTGTACCTGCGAAATTCAAAAAAGAATGACAAGACGCCAATCAGCTGGACCAACGAGGCGGAAGAAGCGTTCAGCCAGTGCAAGAGCGAGTTGTCCAGTGCTGCGCTGCTAGCACACCCTTCCGAGAACGCCTCATTAAGATTGACCACCGATGCTTCGGATACAGCCATGGGGGCTGTGTTGGAGCAGGAGGTTAAAGGCGACTGGCAACCCCTGGGATTTTTCTCAAAAAAGTTGACCAACACCCAACGAAGGTACAGCACGTACGACCGCGAACTGCTCGCGATATACGAAGCCATCAAATTCTTTCGCTACATGGTAGAAGCGAGAGTCTTCACGGTTAGAACGGACCACAAGCCTTTGATTTACGTGTTCAAACAGAACTCAGAGAAAGCTTCCCCGAGGCAGCTACGCCAACTCGACTTCATCAGTCAGTTCACTACTGACATAGAACACATTCCTGGCGAAAACAACATGGTGGCGGACACATTATCCCGAATCAGCGAAGTTCACACGGCAGCAGTAATCGACCCGGACGAACTCGCCTCCGCCCAAGAACAAGACCTGGAGCTGAGAAACCTGCTGAATTCCAGTACCAGTTTGAAACTCCAGAATCTCACACCCATGAATTCGGATACGGCGATCTGGTGTGACACAGCCACGGGGAGAATTCGCCCCTACATACCCCTCCACTTACGAAAAAGGGTATTTGACATGGTACATTCTAAATCACACCCAGGCGGCAAAGCCACATTCAAGGCGGTACATAAAAGTTTCGTGTGGCCATACATGGAACGCAACATAAAAAAATGGGCGCGCGAATGCCTTCCTTGCCAGCGGTCAAAGGTGAGTAGGCACACTAGAACACCCCTAAAACATTTTGAACTTACAGAATGCCGATTCGAACATGTACACATGGACATCGTTGGGCCATTACCACCATCACAGGGACACCGGTACTGCCTCACGATGACAGACAGGTTCACCCGATGGCCAGAAGTAATTCCCATGACGGACATGACGGCGGAGACGGTGGCGAAAACCTTTTACGCAACCTGGGTTGCGCGGTTCGGTTGCCCCCACCGTATTACAACTGACCAAGGCCGACAGTTCGAGGCCACACTGATGTCTGCCCTCACAGACCTTTTGGGCACTAAACGTTGCCGAACCACGCCATACCGACCACAGTGCAACGGGATGATCGAGAGGTGGCACAGAACGATCAAAGCCGCCATCATGTGCCACGAGACCAGTGACTGGTACGACATCCTACCTACGGTGCTGTTAGGTTTAAGGACAACAATCAAGGATGACCTTCAGTGTTCCCCAGCCGAGCTGACTTACGGCACGCAACTACGAATCCCGGGGGAATTTTTCTTCGCAAACGACGAGCCAGAAGTCGACCCCAGCAATTTCGTCGACAAGTTGAGGCTCCACATGCGCAACGTCCGACCAAGGCCAGCAACCCACCATGGCCACCACAAGACTTTTGTCCACCCAGAGCTGTCTGACTGTTCCCACATCTTCCTCAGAGATGACTCAGTCAGGAAGCCACTACAACCACCATACACCGGACCACACCACGTATTACGACGTACGGACAAGGTGATAGTAATAAGCAGGAATGGTAGAGAAACCACAGTGAGCCTGGACCGAGTAAAACCGGCTTTCATATCGGCAGAGTCCTGCACTCCGCCTCATGTGCAGCCCCCAACGCAACAGGTCCCGACAACACCTGCGTCGACGAGCACCACTACAAGGTCAGGAAGAACAGCCAGGCCACCAGTGAAATTCCGCGACTACGAAACGTAGTCACTGGGAGGGGACTACTGTGGCCGCCTGGAAGCTGTGGCCGCCTGGAAGTAGGCAACCAGTTATACATACATAATGCAGCCACCGGATTGGCAGTTACAACGCGCAAGCCCATAGAGGAAACGCCACGGTGGAAACGTAAAACAGACCTTCTTCTTCTCCGACTACTTCCCGAGTGCAGACGTCCTCTTCTTCTCCGACCACTCACCGTGTGCAGACGTCCTCTCCTCTTCAAGACCTCCACGTGGACATACACATACAACCTTGGGCCTTGTTATCATTTTTGTAGTTGGTATTGTAAATAAACCTGTACTAAAACCGTTTCCGTTAGTAATTCGACGACAACAATTACAATTGTATAAATACTTTTCTAACGTGTTCTGACACTTCTAACGGTGAGCTGAAACCTATCGTTCCGGAACGATGACATTCTAACGATACGATCGCTATGTAACGAGACGATAGATGTTACAAAATCGCTATCAGTCCCAAAATCGTTATGGGAACGATTATCGTAAGTTAACGATGCTCTAGCGAGATCGTTAAGAGTTACAAAATAGACCTCTAAGGGGTCTATTTTGTAATTTATCGCTCCGGAACGATCTCGTTCCCAAACGATAATCGTTAGAAGCAATCGTAAAATCAGTTTAGCGAGATTGTACAAATTTCCAATTTTATAAACACTATCGTAATCGTAAAGCTTTGAAATCGTTAGCGGAACGATGAATCTAATGTTTTTAGAATCGGTAGTATTTAAATTTGTGTAGCGTCTAGATTACGTTGTTCTCTGTTGTGACATATGACATTTGTTTTGCTACTGATTGA